AAACAGGATGGGATTTGGAACATAGATAGATATAATGGACCTCTACAAGAAGGTATGTTCACCATGCACATGCATACACGTGCGTGAACATGTGCTGCAATCTGATTGGCTGAAACTTTAAACAGCTATAACTCCCCTGGTTTTCAACCAAACGGGATGGGATTTAGAATATAGATAGATGTTATGGACTTCTACAAGAAGATTTGGTCACCATGCTCATGTATGCACGTGCGTGCACGTGAAATGAGTAAAATAAAAAATACACTTGAATGAGCGTATTTTTAATACTTTTGGATTAAATACTTTAATATTTAGTATATTAAAATATATAGATTCTATAGACAATATGATATGGTCATTACGCACATGCATTCACATGCGCACGCGTGCAATGCTAAAATTTGAATGAACTTGGTACACTTCTGGGTAAAGGTTGTTAAAGTCTCAAATGCATAGAGTTTGTCTTATTTAATGAAGCTTACAGGGGATATGGCACCAAAAGGGAGTTGGGGAGCGTTTATAAACAACGGTTCCCGTTACAATTAGCACTAGTTATTATTATTATTATTTTTTTTCTTATTTGTTCTCCGGTACTTTTTTGTCCGCGAGTGTTCTCAGAAACTGTTCACCCAACTGAGCTAAAACCTTTTTAGGGTTAATAGGTGTGTAGTGTAGGTGTGCGGAACGAAGGTCATTTTGCGCGCATACGCCTGCACGTGCGTGCGCGTGAAATGAGTGAATTGACTGATATACTTAATATAGCTATAACTTTTACATTTTTTGATGAAATGCTTTGAAACTCATTTCATAAGGATATATTAAAAGTGTTAATAATATGACATTGTCAAATAAGCATGAACTCACGCGCATGCACGTGCGCTGCAATCTGATTGGCTGAAACAAAAATCTCAATATCTCTTTTGTTTTCTGACGAAATGCTTTGAAATTTTTAACATTATCATGAATAAGGATATCCTATAATATAATATGTAAAAAATTTCATGAAATCACGCGCATGCACGTGCGCTGCAATCTGATTGGCTGAAACTTTAAATGGCTATATCTCCTTTGATTTTTGATGAAAGGCTTTGAAATTTAAAACATAGTCATGCATTAGGATATTCTACAATGATTTAGAAAAAACTTCTTGAAATCACGTGGATGCACGTGTGCTGCAATCTGATTGGCTGAAACTTGAAATGGCTATAATTCCCTTGGTTTTCAACCAAACAGGATGGGATTTAGAACATAGATAGATATATGGGCCTCCTACAAGAAGGTATGGTCAGCATGCACGTGCACGCACGTGCGTGCATTTGGAACGAGTGAAATTAAAAATGCACTTGAATGAGTTATTTTTAATACTTTTGGACTAAATGCTTTAATATAAAGTATATTTAAATATATAGAAAATGTAGACAAGATTATATGATCATTATGCACGTGCATTCACATCGGCACGCGTGCAATGTTAAAATTTGAATATAATTGGTATCCTTTTGGGAAAACGTTGTTAAAGTCAAAAATGCACAGATATTGTCTTATTTAATAAGGCTTACAGGGAATATGGCACTAAAAGGGATCTGGGGAGCGTTTGGGGAACATCTGTAACGGTTCCCGTTACAATTAGCACTAGTTATTATTATTATTATTATTCTTTTTTCTTCTTATTTCTTCTCCGGTAAAATTTTGTCCGGAAGTGTTCTCAGAAACTGTTCACCAAACTAAGTTAAAACCTTTTTAGGGTTAGTAGGCATGTTGTGTAGATGTGCCGAACGAAGGTCATTTTGCGCGCATTCGCATGCACGTGCGGGCGCGTGCAATGAGTAAACTGACTGATATATTTAATATGGTTGTAACTTTTATATTTTTTGATAAAATGTTTTGAAACTCATTATATAAAGATATATAAGTTGTGTAGATAAGATGACATGGTCAAATTTGCATGAACTCACGCGCATGCACGTGCGCTTTGCTCTGATTGGCTGAAACAGAAATCTTAATATCTTGTTTGTTTTATGATGAAATGCTTTGAAACTTATATCATAGACATGTATTAGGATGTACTACAATATGATGTATAAAATTTTTCATGAAATCACGCGCATGCACGTGCGCTGCAATCTGATTGGTTGAAACTTTAAATGACTATAACTCCCTTGGTGTTCAACCAAACAGCATGGGATTTAGAACATAGATAGACATAAAGGACTCCTACAAGATGGTATGGTCACCATTCACATGCATGCACGTGCGTGCACGTGCGCTTTGCTCTGATTGGCTGAAACAAAAATCTCAATATCTTTTCTGTTTTTTTACAAAATGCTTTGAAATTTAAAACATAGGCATACTTTAGGATGTCCTACAATATGATATATAATAATTGTCATGAAAACACGCGCATGCACGTGCGCTGCAATCTGATTGGCTGAAACTTTAAATGGCTATAACTCCCTTGTTTTTCAACCAAACAGGATTATTAAGAACATAGACAGACATAGTGGACTCCTACAAGAATATGGTCATCATGCACGTGCGTGCACGTGTAAATGAGTAAAATAGTGTAGACAAGATGATATTGTCATTACGCTCATGCAATCACATGCGCACGCCTGCATTGCTTAAATTTGAAATACTTGGTATACTTTTGGGAAACGTTGTTGCCGTCCTAAATGCATAGATTTTGCCTTCTTTAATGAAACTTACAGGGAATATGGCACGAGAAGGGAGTTGGGGAGCGTTTGTAACGGTTCCCGTTACAATTAGCACTAGTTTCCCGATGACAAGGAGAAAACACGGGTGTGACTGGTCGGCAGGAGATCACTCCTCCGTGGCACCTCATCCAACCTCTAATGTTTTGTAGGTCCATTTTGTTCCGCTCCTAGGCCTATGTTGTAATGTATAATGGACTTTTAAGCTTGAATTCTGTTCGTTCTCTCTATAAATGTCATAGTATATTTTTTTTTCTTTTGAAGGAAAATTACCTAGAATCTCTAAAAAAAAAAATAATGAAGAGCTGAAAAACAACAAGTAGCAACAAGACTCACCAGAAGAGTCTCTGTGAAGACGGAAGCAGTTACTGTAAAATATGGAGATAAAACACAGAATTCAAGCTCAACATTCATTTAAACTTAAAATTGGGAGCAGAGAAAAGCTGTGCCTCCAAAAACATCAGAGGCAGGATCAGGTGCCATGGAGGAGTATGCATCCCTTATGAACAATTACACCCGCCATGTCTCTTTGTCATGCTCGGGTAAACGGAAATATCAGTTTGTAAATAATAACCTAACAATTGGTATGCAAAATGTCAGTGGCAATTTTTGACCCAATAAAAGATTATATATCTGCTGATAAGGTCATTGGCTGCAAAATGTTGACTTTAAACGGAACAGTTTGTATTCTTGTTTTATCAACTTGATAATTAAAAAATCGCCTTGATAATTTTTTTTGAAAATTGATGCTCCTGCATATTGAATCAAATTGGCAACATAAATATCGTAAGTAAGTGTTTAACGTCTATTGCTATAGTAAAAAAATTATGTACAATAGAAAAGTTGAGTCATCTCGTTTATCATCAAGTTGTTAGAAGTTTCTGAATATACTCTGCATCATATAAATACAAAAATTAGTACATTAATAACGTGATGCATTTGGTACCCTTAGGAATTCCAATCCATTGTTTTTAATCCTAGTCTCCCAAAACTAATAAATACATGTGTATTGTCAATCAGAAATCAGCAATCAGACATCTTTTCAAAACCAACTTCAAAGTACTTTTGTATACGATTAGAATATTTTTAACAAATGTCTTTGAAAATACTCAATGCCAAATGTTAGTATTTTACGAGTTTCATTTATACAGAAAAGATTAATTGTCACTGATGTCAAAATGACTGCAGTTTCATATATCATTGGAAATTGTTGTAGAACGTGTTGAAAAGTCGTACGTTTTGATGTTATTCATTTAGGTAAAATTGTGTGGTTTCAAATCTAATAAAGCTTCCTTGTTGTTTTAAAGTGTCCACATCTGATTTACTGTACTCCTCAAATACTAGTTTAGTTTTCTACAGTACTCCTTATGTTTCTCCTTCACAGTAATAAATTTTTTGTCTTACAAAGACAATGTTGCCCGGGACCAGAACAACAGACCTTGTTCTATCTAAGTCTTGTTTCACTTCTAGAATAGATGGTTTTCGCATTGCCCCTCAATCTCTTAATGCGAGATTAATCTAAAAACAGATTGTCATTTTTGTAAATAATACTATATTTTATACCTATCTTAAGTTCTGATACCCCCCTCTTCCTTGTGACTTTACCGCTTGGGACAAAATAGCGACAGTCATGTGGACGATGAAATTTCTGGTCTTGCCATTCAAGTATAGCTGCTGCGAGAGAACTGAACTTGGCTTCCCAAGCTACTGATACAGATAGGACGGACAGGGCAAAAATTATATACCCCCGAAACTTCGTTTACGGGGGCATAACAATTGGAATGCAAAACTTGGAATTGGAAAACGGAAATACATGTATAAAGTAAATGGATCCTTCCTAAATGTTCAAAACATTCACATTTATATTGGCACTTTTATTGCTTTGGTATAAAGCAAACAGCTCAGTAAATAAGAATGCTTCAGAATTATAATGTAATTTGAAAAAAAAGTTTATAAAAACAATATAGCAAAATAAATTTGTCCTCTGCATAGTTGTAAATGGTTGTGTAAAGAAAGATTTCTTCCTGAAAACCAGGACTTGTATGCAACAAAAAATATGATTTAGGGAGTATCAAAGAGGTTTACAACAGGATAAGTATTGTCCAGCTAATATGTTCTATAAAGCATTTAGTGACAAAATAGATTCCTCTCCATCGGTCCCATGGAGGTTGTTCAACCGCCTAAAAGTCCCTTTAAATTTGGTTCCATAGTCGTCTTGGTACGTACATAAGAAGAAACTATCCGCTCTTGCATTTGACATATTTAACACATATAAACATAAATTCAAGATTTTTTAAATTTTGAATCTTTTAATGATGTTGTTTGCACACATTTACTGTTAACATGCGAAAATTACCGGTGCCTTCCGCAATTCTTCCTTTGAGAGGACTTTGTCTCCTGAAATGAAATATAGAACCTGTATACATTTTTGTAACATTATATAATAAAATTGACAAAACGATTTGAGGTACAAAGTTTGAATTGTTTTTTTTTAATCTTTTCCTCAGAAATCTTTTGATGGAAAGAGAAAATTTTGTTCGAACTTTTAGCAATCTTATATATTTTATATTAGAATCAAAATTATTTTTGAATAAAGTTTTAGCAAAATCATTATTCAATTAAGTTTGAAAATTCCACAGTGATTGTATAATGTTTCAATGTCTCCGATTTTTCGGGGGGAAAAATTAAAAGAACAAACATTATAAAAGTTCTTTGGAATTGTTTTGAGCTGCACATTTCTAAAAAGAAATTTGTAACGTAAAGAGGTATAGTGTATAAAAGACAGCAGCGCATTGACTGAGAAGATTTGAAATGTGCAGCTTACGTCTTTCCAAAAGTTACAATCAAAGCATTTGATGATTGACAATAAATTGGTTGCAATGTGACGCGGGTGTCTTACATTGATTGATTGTATATTGTTTAACACCCCTCTCGAGAATTTTTCACGCATATGGAGACTCCAAACTTGCCAGTGGAGAGCTACAACTGTTGTCCTATACTTGGCACTCAGCGCCGTTGAGCAGTGAGGGATCTTTTTCGTGCCAGCTCCTTTTGCGACATGGGACCTCGGTTTATACGGTCTCGCGAACCCGCGACGTAAGGATCAACTCCCGATCGCAACCTCGAATGTATCACCGGTACGTATACGCCATGACAACCCCCCTTTTCATAAACTTTGAAATAAGTGTTGGAATACCTCTTTTCTATGGATTATGGAGTTTAACTTCATTGAATGTATAGATATTACCTAAAATATACTACAGAAGGAACTTTTAACTCCGTCTATTCTGTTTTTGAATAAACAGGAAATGTATAAATTTTTAGCATTTTTAACCCCTTACTTCACGACTTTAGAACAGAAGCCCTAACCACTGGAGGCACGTAGCAACAGGTTGGGCAGGGGGGGCTTTTTAATCCCTTACTTCACGACTCTAGAACAGAAGTCCTAACCACTGCAGGCACGTAGCAACAGGTTGGGCAGGGAGGCCTTTTTAACCCCTTACTTCACGACTCCAGAACAGAAGCCCTAACCTAATCTAACTATTGGAAATGTTCATTGAAAGGCTGGTCCCCCCCCCCCCCCCCCCACTTGATACTAGAGGAAATTGATATCAGGGAAATGTAGTATTGAATGCAAAAAAAAAATGGTACTGAGAGAATTTGGCATTGAATAAAAAGTGCCCCCCCCAATAGGATTTTGGGCAGTTTTCCCCCTTTTTGTTTGCTTGTCATCTTTTTCAGGTAAGTCCAAAAAAAATTCTCTGGCTGATCCCCCCCAACTTTCAAAAACGAGGCTACGTGGCTGCACTGCGCCACGCATGCGTCTTAGAAAGCACTGAATAAAAATTTTAGCTCGAATTTCATTTTCAATCCATTTCTCAATACAGTGATATTTGATCGTACAGTGGAATTGGTTGATCTATAGGACAAATAATGGACACCAATTTCGGAATATTTTGAAGTGTTATTTAAATTAGAATTTTATGTCTGTAGTTTTTTATCAAAGAAATGGAATATGTGGCAACTATTTAATTGATGTGTGGGTTGATAGAGACTAAAGTAAGAAAGTGTAATCCACGTTACTGAAAAAGAATATAAATCATATTCTAGAGTATCAAACAAAAATATACAAATGTATTCAAATTTTTGATGAACACAAATTGATTTAATCTTTACCTTCGATCTCCGATAAAAATCAAATGGTAATCCGATATAAATATATCTATATAACTTTTTTTAACATCATTGTATGTCTTTGGCACTTTCCCATATAATCTTATTGTAAATGTACCTGTATTTTGAGACGGTCCCTTAAAAATACCTGGGCGGTAGGTTTTCCCCAAACTTGACATGATGTCAATTTAAGTTATATTTGATATAAAAATAAAGAGTTCCTCTATTGTTTTTTTACACAATAAAATCCCAGTCGGCCCCCTTAAATATTATTTTAAGGTCTAAAAAAGTTTATTACCGTTAACATCTGCAATATTGTAGACATAGTCAACATCGGTACTGTGTGGACGTGCATTTGCCGTTAGAGAAAATTCGGTCTTGTTTACCGATCCGTCTCCGTTTGTGTCCCATGAAGAAAATTCACATGGCAAAGGTACGATAACTTCCTGAAAACAGCAGTTAATGTTAGAATTAGATAACTTTGCTTTGAATAGTTGTTTAAATGTAGGACAAAATATATCAAACAGTGTTATAAGTTGCAAAGACCAAATTAAAATGGTACAATAAAGCGCATTGAAGTGGTAAAATTTTCTGTTTGGACGAAACGTTCTGAGTCATGTTTTGAACGTCAATAATAACATAAGGACATGCCCATATTTTCAGAAACGAGAAAGAAATATTCGTCGTAATGTTTTAGGACACCCCATTCTTCGCGACAAGCAATATGAGTTACACTGAAATGGAGCTTTATAAAAATTAGATGAGAGAGTTAGAGATTTCCCGCTTCTGTAAAACACAAATTGCAACGAATATGTACATATTTTTGAACTTACATGTATCATGACTATTGAAGTTACCACAACACATGTTTAAACGGTCAATTTGTTTATTCGAATTTATTTAGACTGTTTTCATTGGCTATTATATTCATGGAAAACCTGTTCTACAGGTATTCGAATAAACAAATTGACCGTTTTATCAATTTCTAAGGAAATGGGCGTGTCATAAGATGACAATAAACGTTCTAAAGATAGCTCAAAACGTTCTATTCGAATGGAAAATTTTACCACTTCAATGCGCTTCATTGTAGCTGGATTCACTAGAGAATTTGAAATTCAAAACAATATAGTAAAACACTTATTCTACTACGATTATTGCCGAGATCAAAGAAATGCCGCGGACATTATTCTCCAATAAATCAGGAACATCATCAATAAATTATCAGTTCAGAAACACGTATCAAACCTGTGCAGTTGAAATGTATATTGAACTTAAGAATGAAAACATATTTAGACCACATCGATGGGTCGTCTTTTGCAACCTAAACACTGTAGCTGATGAATGTATGTTTCTAAAGCTAAGCGGGGCTGTTTCACGGATCTCCCTACGCCATATTTAAACTCCGTGATATATTAGTAATAAAGTGGTAAAAAAGGAAACTGATTTTGTTTTTGTATATTCAAAAAGATTTATCTGTATAAGCTTCAAACAGATTTATAATTAATGAAAGGCTAATTTTTAATGCATTCTATTCACAGGTAATAATCAAATTTACACTCTGGTGTTAAGGGGGCCGACTCTTGTTTTCATTGCGCAATATTTCGCGCAGCATAGTAAAATGAAGCGTTTTTAATGTTTAAAAGCAACTTTTTTCACTTGATCAATAAAATTAAACAAAATTAAGCAATTACAGGTTTAAAAATGTAATTACAATTTTATATAACTGAATTTTTAACCGATTTTGCAACTGATAGGTAGGCTGACGACGTTATAGTGCGTGTTTTACGTTATGATAAACTGAAGCTCTTAAAGAAAGGGGTAACAAAAATGTTATTAGATTAAAAGTAATAAACATACGGTCTTGAAATTTACTACATAGGAATTTGATAATCTCTTCATCATATTTTATTATTTTTTGTATAAATCCTATGCATTCGTCATATTTTGTAGCACTCTATAATAACAGGAAAATTCGTTAATTTTTGGCCTTTTGAGATGCCCCCCTCTGTTAACAAGACAATAGAATTATGTGTTTCTTACACATAATGTACAAGATAGTATAACTCATCATTTATTATAGTTTGAACAAAAACGCTATAGTAGTATTTGTATAATTTGGTTTAAAGTGCTAAAAATTGGCACTTTCCTATATAATCCTATAGTAAATGTACCTGTATTTTGAGATGGCCTCTTAGAAATACCTGGACGATAGATTTCGCCCAAACTTTGAATGTACACTAAAGTTAATGTCAGTTATATATGGTATAAAAATGAAGAGTTTCGCTATTGTAGTTTTCACGGAATAAAACTATAGTCGGTCCCCTTAAATGGAACATTGTTATTGCAGCAAGGTGACCTAATTCGTTTCTCTATTCAGTCGTATTTTAGAGCTGCTAAAGTAGAATAGAAATAAAGTCCCTGTTGTCGTGAATGATGCAGAATAACCTCCTCGGTCTCAAAATGTTGTTTGAAATATGAAAGCCCCCGCTAACGCCTCGGCTTTCATCTTTCAAACTACGTTTCTCGCTCTCGAAGGTTATTCTGCAACATTCACGAAAACGCGGACTTTATTTCTTAAATAATCAACGCCTCAAATGGGGTTTATCAAAATCAAAGAGAAATGTTCAATCTGTAATTTACAATTACGTAAATAAGTTGGGAGAGCATGGATAACTAGCTCTCAAAAGGAAAGGACTGATTTGCATTGGGATAAAATGAGGAGATTCAAAAGAATCCTTAAAGAATAAGATGATTTAAATTCAATAAAGTATAATAGACTTTCTTCTTTCTTACATACGAGATAATGAAAATAAAAAGCAAGCAGAACCCACGTCGACTTACTTTCTGATCAGAACGTTTACGGCTACATTTTGGATAACACCTGGAACAACAGTATGGTCTGCATCGGTTGTTGCATTGAAACTCACACAGTGTCTGACAAACCGGCCGTGGAGGCGGCGGCGGCGGCGAATTTCTTCTCCTCCTCCTTCTAAAAAACCAGGCATCTCCTTCGTCGATGAATACGATGCTGAGGAGCATCAGTACTAGCAGCAGAGACAGTGTATTCTAAAATTATTTATTGACCGCCTAGAACTTTAAATGTGCCAAGTTTTTAGTTCTTCATCTAAAAATCTCTTTACAGATTAATAAACTTCACTAGTTTGAAGGGTTTGTCTTTAAGCAAATATAATGGGTAATGAAATCATAAACAGTTGAAAATCAGCGATATGTTATTCTTTGTTCTTTACACACGTATAAACGCTGTCCTCGTTTCATCGTTTAAATTCTATTTTTACAGTAAACACCAGCTAGAAATCAAATGTAATATTCAACACAGATGATGTCGCAACTTTCGTTAGCAATATTAGTAGGTATATGCGAGATATTATGGAGTGTGTATAACCTTGAACGCCTGAGATGAATCAAAATGCGTTAAAACAAGTTGGTTTTCCTGCAAGTTTGAAATATTTCCTCGGTGTATTATAATTTATCAATATTGGTATTATTAATTACTTAATGAAATATGAAAATACGTTGCGTTAATCAGGATCAAAAGTATATTGAATCAAAAGAAATTTGGAGCCAAGAAACTACGGACCTCTAAAACATCTGAGGTGGGATCAGGTGCCACAGAAGATAAAGCATTCCCTGTCGAACTGTCACACCTGCAATGTGCTCCCTGTCGTATTGGGGCAAACGAAAAAACTCTGTAGATAATTCAGTGTGAAAATAGTGGACTTACATTTTGTATAAAAACGCATGTGAACATTCAATTTTTTTTAATTTGAGATTGTTTTTTAAAATAAGGTCAATTTTTCGAGAATTTTCATACAAATGTCTATGTACCTGTAAAATTTCGACGTTATTTTTTCCCAACACAATATATGGAACTCACATAAAAGTTTAAACACGGAATTTTGAATCAAAAGAATAACCATCCTTCAGAAAGCAAAACTGTTCATAAGGCAAACTCATAAAAAGTGGCCGGACATATAATTAAAACATTATTCTTTTGGACAATACTTACTGTCACTACATTTTCCATATGCATTTCGTTCTTCTCCTGCAGGGGCACTGAAATCAATCTTATCTTTTTCTTTTATAATAACTTTATTTGATATTAATGCAAAATAAAACAACGTGTTAGTTCATGGGTCTTTTATTTTCTTCGGTGTGAGATTTCCTTTTGAAGACATCATCTGTATCAAAAATTAGCAGGCACGTAGCAACGGGGGGGGGGGGGGGGGGGGGCACTTTTTCCGAACATAATTTTACTATTGAAAATGAAGCCCCCCCCCCCCCCTACACACACAAACTTTTTACTACGGTAAATTGATAGGGTAATATAGTATTGTATGTTTAAAAAATTGGTACCGAAAGAAGGAAGTGAAAAAATTTTTGGCCTCTACCCCCCACCCTCCCCCACGAAATAAGATTTTCGAGTTTGGGCGATTTCCTTTTATTTTTTTTCTTGTCAACTTTTTCAGGTAATTTTTTTTTTCTCCGGCTGGACCCCACACTTCCAAAAACGTTGCTACGTCATTGTTTACTTAGTGTAGATTGTGAGCGATGTGGCCCTTTAGCCTCTTGGGCTTTTTTCCCAGAGTTTATTGTGTAGGAAATGTTCAACATTTTTTTCTTTACCTTTTTCATTGTTCTGTCTTTTGATGGTCTTCTAATGCTATAGCCTAGATATGTTTTACCTATGAAATAAGAGATCTTTATTAATTGAATGTACATGTATATCAGAACTGAACAGATTTCATTTAAAATCTCAAATACATTTCCAAACCTAGCATTACATATAATGTACATTTAAGCAGTTATATTTTTGGAGCTATTTTTTAATAGGTGAAGCAAAAGCAAACTTCATTTATCAAATGGCATTTTCATCTTATATATGTTAAAAGATATAATTACCAACGCTTTCTGGTTCAATGAACAGCAGAACACGTGTTTATTTTCATAAAGATACAAAACAAAAGGAAAGAAATGGAAAGTATTCAATGATTCAAATATCTTTGATAGAAAAATGTTTCATATAAAAGTCTCCAATTAAAAATAAAAATATCATCAGTAAAAGATAGGAAGTAGGCATTACTATAATTCAAATCATTCCGAAGAGTTCTAATTAAGACCCAAATTTGTATCACGAACATGCTTGTTAAATTCAATTCCACCCTTTAGAAAATATAATATATCAATATAATAAAATAAAATTTAAGAAATTAATGAAATGAAATATGAAAAATATTTCAGAATATAATTTTTGTGTGAGCAGAGTGAGAAATTTTAGCCCTTTCTTTAGCTTTATTTCAACTAACATTGCATCAGAATAAATACTAAATCTGAATTTTGTCCCATTTTTCTTTCACATTTTATGTAATGTATACCCTTGGCTAAAAACGATTTTAAGTGTCGTTGGTTTCGCAGTTTAGAAAAAGTGTTCAATTAAAACAGTCATACTAAATAACCTTAGTCTTACCTTAAAGTTCTCCAGCTTTAAGATGTGGCATCTCGAAAATCACGAGTCTTTATACCAAAAGAAGATTAATAAATTAGACTAAAAAATATCGAAATCAGTTTATGAATTTAATTTCAAACAAAACCAGATGTAGATAAGAGCTAGAAATTGTTTTATGATACTTAAAAAAAATATTGCTAATTAGCTCTCGACGACATGCGGGGGCTACATGTAAATCTTTTTTTTTTCAATTAAAGTACCTGCTTGTATATACAAGACTAGTAACTGATCCCTTTACAAAACTTGTAAATTTCAAATTGACAGTTTCGAATTAGCTAGTTTAGACGTTAATGTTGACAAGCTTTACAACCCACATGCATAACTACATGTTTATGGTTTCAGAGAAAGGATTTTTATGATAACTAAATAAAGAGGCAATGTTTCAAATTATCGAATTTTAAACTGAATTTAAGGCTAGTTTCTAAGCGTTCCGCATTTGAAGTGAAAGTTCCGGGTCCTTCGGATGAGACCTTTAAAACCGATGTACGTAGGCACGATAAAGATCCCGCGCTGCTCAATGGCCGTTAGTGCTGAGTTAACGTCAAAATTTCCTTCACCAGTAATGGTGACGTCTTTCTGTGAAATATTCTCCAATTGGACGTAAGACAACATACAATCAATCAAACATAAAACTGATGACTTAATTTCCTATATTGTAATCTTCCCTTGTTTGAGTAGTTGTTAAAAATCGTAGCCTGTATATGGATACTCTTGAAAGAGTATGAGCCAAGAACGATAAATTTCCGAGCAGGCAATAGGCAAATAAGGTGATGAATCATATCAAACAATTTCGTTTTAAGTCAAGTTCAAGTTCTATAGTCGATACAATGACATTGATTGCAAATTAATACAGTTTGAAATTTTTCGACCATTATGTTCACATTTAGTTGTCTTTTTCCGTTTAAGATTGATTGATTGATTGTATATTGTTTAACTTTCCTCTCGAGAATTTTTCACTTTTTTTTCTTGTTTATTCTGCATATACAGTGTACATGTAAAATGTAATCATTAAAACACCCCTGTAGCTCGATAGCTCCGACATACATAATTATTCCCCCCGCTTGAAAAGCGGAAGGGTATATAGTAATCGGTATGTCTGGCTGTCTGTCCGTCCTTCTGTTACAGTCTGGGGTACCCATATCTTATCCGCAACACCTCTCATACCACTGAATGAAATTTGAAGAAACTCTCACAGAATCTTTATTACATATTGTCATTGTGCACCTCCTATTTTACTTTTTGATCGAACTCATAATTTGGGTTTCTCATAGCAAGACATGTACACTGCCATTTTATTCATATGGGAGGCGGGGGATATCATTTAGTGAACTCATTGCTCACAGTATCTCTAGTTGTTTTTAAGCTTATAAATGAAAAATGAAAACTATTAAATACATGAAGAAATAAAAGTTTGCCCAATGTTTTAGCGGTCTTAGTGGTAAATCCAACTTCTCGTCCCATCAAGCTAGAAATATGAAGAAATCTCTGAAAGTCTTCTTTACGGAACACCTGTTTATTATTTCTCTTTTTTTTTCGTCCTTTGTGAAATGTTCAATCAGTTCGCATTGGAACGCCTCTTATTCACATTTACTATATAAAATGTACTCTTGGCTATTTTTAATGACAAACGATGGAAGATTTTTTACTTTGGATGTTCTATATCATCCGAAGGTCCTGCATGTCCAGCAGCTGGCAATCTAATTAAAATCAGACTTCTTAGATCCGCGCGCCCTATTCACTATGCGCAGATTGAATACTGCGCGGATCTACAAAGTATGATTTTAATTAGATTGAGTAGCCGTATTCGATCCCCATGACCTAATGAGTTTAATATTACAAAAATACAGTTATTTGTAAAATGTTGAAAGTTTAAGATCACTTCCAGTTACAATAGGTATTCTATGCCAATATCATGTAGAATCTGTTAGAATTGCTTGATTATTATACCCCCACTCCAAAAGTGGCAGGGTACGCTTTAATTTGGAGTATCCATCTTTTATCCGGGAAATCAAATGAGACTTTCATATAATCTTTGTTACATGGTGCCTTTGTGCACCTCCTATTTTATTTTTTGATTCGATACATTGGGTTTCCAATAGCAAAACACGGACACTGCATTTTCTTGCATATTAAAGGGCACTCATCTCTTAACTGCAACTCCTCATGTACCACTTAATAAAAATAACATGGTACTTTTACAAATACTTCATAACAATGCCATTCTGTGTCTCCTATTTTCCTTTTTTATCTGACACTTATTTCGGGTATTCCAGAGCAAAACACGAACTTTGCCAATTATAATCATACATGTATGGGAGGGTGGTATATTTTAGTGCAATTGTCACAGCATCTCTAGTGTCAATAAGATTTGATATCATCACACCTACATGAGAAATAGCGTAATTTTTTTTTCAAGAATTATTCATAATTTGTACCCGTTATTGGACATTCAAAATTTCTTTTTGGCTACAATGTCATATCTAAATGCATCATCAAAGATAAATTAATTAGGTCTACTGAATCGTTGGTAAATATTGCATTGGTCATTTGCGGAATTATATTGTTAAAGAACATTCTGATTGAACACACAAATACTCTGAAGTTGATATTAAAAACATGCTTGAGTTTCTGATTGACAATATCTAATAGATGTGGTTTTTGGAGACCAGGTCTTCGTATAATCTATTTCCATGGCTACTAAGTGCGCCCTGTTATAAGCACACCTATTTTTGTAATCATATGAAGCAGAATTTTTCCCAAATCATATACGTAAAAAGATGAAAACACTTGCTGTGGCCTTCAAATCGACATTTAGATATATAGACGACGTATTGTCAATTAACAATGGTTAATTTCATTCTTAAGTGGATAAGATATATTCCGATGAGTTTGATATAAAAGATACCACGTAGTCTGACACATCTGTTTCATATTTGGATATTTTATTGAAAAAGACTAACAACAACTAAAAAACTAACAACAAAGCTTTATGATAAACGTGACGACTTCAACTTTTCAATCGTCAACTTCCCTTACTTATGCGGCAATATACCTTCATCGCCTGCGTATGGGGTTTACATCTCTCAGTTGATTCGATACCCGAGACCTTGATCTACGTATGAACAATTTTTAATGCGAGGTAAATTACGTTGTTGACAAACAAGTTGCTGAAACAAGAATATCAGCAGTCACGTTTAAAGTCATCATTTTGTAAGTTCTGTGGTCAATACAATGTTCTTGTCAGCAAATGCAATTTATCATTAAGTCAAATGCTGAATGACATTTTTCATAATAATTGATAGGCCATTATATGCATACTGAATTGTCGACGGAATTTCCGTCATTTGCCGATCACGACAAGGAGAACACAGCGGTGTGATCGGTAGGCAGGAGATGCTCACTCTTCTATAGCACCTGATCCCGCCTCTGACGTTTTGGAGGTCCTTTTTGTTCCACTCCTATTTTGTAATGTTTGATTGACTTTTGAGCTTGAATTCTGTTCGTTATCTCTATATTTCATGATATCTTTTTCTTTTAAAGGAAAGTTACTTAGAATCTCTTTAAAAAAAAATAATGAATACCTTTAAAACAACAACTAGCAACAAGACTCACTAAAAGAGCTTCTGTGAAAACGGAAGACTTTTATCAGTACAATATGGAGATGAAACACAGTACTCAACTTCAATGTCCATTTAAACTATACAAATCGGAGGCAGAGCAAACCCGGTCGTCCAAAAATATCAGAGGCAGGATCAGGTGCCATGGAGGAGTACGCATGCTCTTTCGACCAGTTACACCCGCCATGTGCTCCTTGTCATGACCGGATAAACGGAAATATCAGTTTGTATATAATAACCTTACAATATTGGTATTCAAAACGTCTGTCGGCATTTAACCCAATGAAAGATTGTATTTGCTGATGAGGTCATTGACTTGCGAAATAATGACTTCAAACGAGACTGTTTGTATATTTGTTTTTCGACTTGTTAATTAAAAAAATTGCCTCGATTAACTTTAAAAAAATGATGATCTTGCATATTGAATTAGATAGAATACATAGATATCATACGTAAGTGTTAAACGTCTATTGCTACATTAAGATATTAAGTACGATAGAAAAGTTAAAGTCATCTCGTTTATCATCAAGTTTTTAGAAGTTTCTGAATATACTTTGCATCCTATGAATACAAAAATGGGTCCGTTTCTGAACTTTCACATAGCAAAGGAAATGGTTGCATAACGTGTTGAAAACTCGTACGTGTTTACGTTATTTTGTAAACTGATGGGCTGTATTGCCCAAAGTTATATTCTGAACAAACTATCTGTCATGGAAAACTTATACAAATATCGATTCAAACACAAATAATAATCAAACCTTTCAAGGCACACTTGACATAAACTTTTTAAAAGAAATTCAAAACAAAGTTAAAACAGGGGATTAGTTCAACTATTTTCAACACTTTTATTTGTGTTCCGAAATAATTAACATTTCTTCTCCACATTATGAACATTTGTTGAACAGAAAGGTTGCCTTATGGAGTTCAGCCTTCGAAATTTGCTGGTTACCTGTAATCAATTTTTATAATAATTAGAATTAAAGTTGTTTTTGCCTTAGAGTTTGATTTGCTGCAAAATAGTACATTGTCCATATAATAATGCATTAAAAATCTTTGCTTACTATCTGTATCTGTAGCTTGGAAAGCCAGGGTCAGTTCTTTTGCAGCAGCTACTTGAGTAGCAAGAGTAGAAAATTCCTCGAAGTCTACATGACCATCGCTATTTTTGTCCCAAGCGGTAAAGTCACAAGGAAGAGCGGGGGGTATCGGAACTCTAAAAAATAAAAAAAAGATTTCCTAAGCCAAGATAAGTTTAAGATAAGAATAAACTGTCGTATTATATTTTAAAAAGACATGTATTTCTTGATTGAGCATGCATTGTTTTGACTTACTAGACTTCTCTTTCTGCCACACAATATTTTGCAGGATTTTCCACAAACTGGAGTGCATATCGGACAAGCCGTCTCACATTTTACTATACACTTCTCTTTACAAATGGGTTTAAGGATCCTCCTGACGCTCCACCGACGTCGCCACCTGCGGGCTCCAGACGAGTCCTCAAGCAGGCACCACGTGATCACAAGCACCAGGAATAGAAGTGATATCTTCATTCTTAAAATTCAATTCGACTTTTAGAAGTCAAAGTGGCGTTCATTCTCATGGGCAAACAAATCAAATTCTGTCAAATGAGTATCTTGTAAAACCATGTGTTACAGTTTTAAAATATTATCCCCTTATCCCCCCCCCCCCCATTTTCTTTGTTGCATGCATTTTATTTTATAACAGTGTATATGAAGAACGAGCCAATAAAAAAAATTAAAAAAAATAAAAAAATTTTTAAAAAAGTTTAAATTTATCAATTTAAACATATTTATAACAATCTGTTAAACCATGTACTTATTACCAAATTTTCAAGCCTTAAGCAGATAACAATCACCATAATAATGTAGAATTCTAATAACCATTTATAATCATGTTTTTTAAAATAACTTCATTTAACTTGAGTTTGTGATTACCTTTCTGTTCCATGAACTAACTTTCAATGAGATATAATCTTATTTTTCTGCTTAAATATATGTTCGAGCAACAAATAAAAGCCATTCAGATTATTTACAATCCACCCTTCTGTCTGGATAATGCTCCAAAGTGTGAGTACCATTTGTTTTTTATATCTATTACAGATTTACAGGTTTTTAAACATATGTTGCGATTTTTCTTTATTTCAGTGAAGGTAGATAAACATATTTTGTCTACTTTTTCAGAAGTAACGTATTTGGTGTATTCGTTCAATCAATAGAAACAAAGAGTCATAGCCTATATTCAAGGCTCATGTACACATAAACATTTACAACCCATGTAAGTTTTCTGCAACTTTATAATCTGAGTTTCCTGATATATAACTTAGAATTTCTCTGACAAAAAAATAAAATAATAAATATTGTTATATATCTAAAAATTTGTTCCTATACAAATCTATACGAAAAAAGCCTAACATTTCTAATGTTTTGCTGAGCGGGCATAAAAAAATCGATGTTTGACCGCTGAGTGAGATGTTAGACCGGTCGATGAGATGTTGGACTGCTTACGTAACAGAATGAGTGGAGCTTAATCTCATTTTCATTCGTTGGTTTTCAACGGACCTGAGGTTACATCACGGAAAACGGTACAAAAAAACATGTACGACCAAAAAAAAAAATTAAAATGAAAGGTATAACAAAACATTTTTTGACTATGTTCTCGGGCAAAACGCGTTTTGTCGACCTACGAACCAAACGGCCTCAGGCAGACAGTTTGGTTCTTGGTTGCGACAAAACGCATGTTGCCCTCAACTCGTCAATAAATGTATATTGTTGTTTCCTTCAATAGGCAGTTACATGTATGTAGTCTAAGAATGTTTACGTGTGATGTAGTGTGGATTCGGCTGAATTTGCTCAGCGACCCCTGTTACAACGCACTTTGAAAAATTACGCACTTTTAGAATTTTTTTCAAAGTGCGTTAAATTTGGAACCAAATCAACACACTTTGAAAAAATAAAATTTCTTTTCATAATATCGACCATATTAACGCACTTTGAAAAAATGTGTATGGCTTGGTCAGTATTCTTGCAAATCGTAGGTATGATAAATAATTGAATCTTTTTGATGACTCTTCGGTGATGAGGTTACTTCAGGATGTTAAAGTGAGCGATTTTGATTTTTCTATACTTTGAAAATTCTTTCTCTCTTAAATGATTTACTGTAATTATTTTTTTCCAGTTTGCATGCATTATATGTAAACTAACTTTATTGAAAGTTTTCAACGTCATACATGTACCAGTTATGCAAATACATACTGTACATTTGTGTGTAACATAGGCATTGAAACCGGGAAAGGGGGGATCGGCACACAAATAATTTGCAAAGATATACATATTATAGGCATTGAAAATTTGGCTTACCTTAGGGAGGGTGGGGTTCACTTTCAATTTGCTACCGACGGCTATGTACAATGTATAAGAAAAAAAAAACAGTTGGGCTAAGAGACCTTCTACTCGCCTTCTCCTTGTTCTCAATGAGGTTAAATGATTACATGTAAATTTAAAAGGTTTTCGAAAAATATAACTATTACAAATTGATTCTCTCAATTACTAAATTCTAAGTCTAGAATTTTTTGTTTTATACATATTTTTTCCAAAATGCGTAATAAGTCCCCGTGTATAAAAATATTTATGTACACTCTGAACGCACTTTGAAAAAAATTTTCAAAGTGCGTTGATTTTGTCTCAATTTTTACGCACTGAAATTTTTTTTTTCAAAGTGCGTTGCCACAGCCCCCCCCCCCCCCCCAAAGAAAAATAAATCTATCACGACCAATGGGGTAGCCTTTTGAAATATTTTGGTTCAAAAGTTCAAAAGCTGGTTTATTGAAAATATTATAATAATCCGAATAGTATTCACATCTTTGATTTATACATACAATTGTCAAAGTAAAAAGTTTATTATCTTGAACCCTCATATGTATGATTAATTCGAAATTTTTTTAAAGAAAAACCTATCTTGAAAACTGGAGGGGGGGGGGTATGTGGTCAAATGATCTTCAGTATGTGATACTTTTATATAGAAAAATCATTGGAATAATTTTCGGACACATTTGCAGAGTAGCCGAGTGCTTACCATCGTCGCAAACCACGGCCAAAATGTAAGATCCTCTCCCATTCTGGAGAGAGCTATGCGAACTCCGGACCGTGGCTTGAGACGATGAGTGCTTACTGAAAAAAATGGGGGGGGGGGGGTGCAACATGAAAGTGTCACTATGGCGGTCATCACATACATAGTTGTAAATGCGAATCTAACACACAAGAAGTTACTGTGGATTTTTTCTTAAGTCTTATCAATTTTTATTACATTTCCTAGAATTTATATTTTCCTCTGCGTTAGAGGATGCAAAATTTAATATAATTCGTAACCAGTAGAGCTTCAGTAACGAATTAATGCGATAGTAAGGTGTCTGTCGTCTAATTTTGCCAGGCGGAATTATTTTTACTTAAAATTTACCTTTACTTTTAAAAGGTAACTTTTTAAATCAGAACTTTGAATTAATTTATGTTTTACAAAATCTTTTCATAATTTTATAAATTTTGATCATTAAAAAAATATATATTTAAAATTATAGTATTGAATTTTTAAAAATCTTATTATCCTTTTATAAATATTTTAAAAAGTTTATTTTGCTAGTTTCTGAGTAAGGGCGATAACTCCAACACCACAAACTATTTTGAATGACGTGCACTTGTTTTATAGGTGAACTAAAAATAGATTGACTGCTTGCTGAGGTCGATAATAAAGGAAATGACAAGAGATTATACGTTTTTTTCACGTATCTATTCAAATACCTTTATACATCTATTCACATATAACTGAACAATCAAAGTACAGTACCGATTCAGAAGTTCATTCCCAAATTTCGTACACTCCAAGAACCAACATCGATTCCATTTGATCATTTTTGTCTGTACTCGAAATTTGTTTAGACTTTTTAAAATGGTTTAGAGAGAAAACCACGAGCCGAGTCTTTCACGAATAATGTCAATTCTATCTCTTGCCTATCAGCACTCAGTCTTTGTAAAGTCCACCTGTCGCGTTTCTCTTTACTCTATATATCTAATTCGTTACAGATTCCCTTGTTAAGGGATTCAAAATTTATTATAATTCTGACGAGCGTATCATTATGCTGTAGAACTATAATGTTATAAGCTTCATGTCCGTCTGTAGGTTGCCTACAATGAGTATTCCAAGCTATTCCATACAATCTTTCCAATTCAGTCTTGTTTTGTTACTTTTACGAAGTTTTAATTTTTTTCAATAGATTAATGAGCATTATAGATCTACAAAATTAAATCAATACATAATATATTCATTATTGTCAAGCCCAGAAAAGTAAAGGTGAATGCAGGTAAAATCTAACGAACAATGAACAACTTTTCAGTGGTAAGAAAGGGAGACTACTTAAAAAACGTTTATCATAGTAAATTTGAATATCATGAAATAAAAATTGTTCTGTCTCTGAAATTTTTATTTTAAACAATTATATGAATATCGTTTAATTTATCGGGCGTAATGCAACATCTGTTTATGTTTGATCTACACTTTCGCTTGTTTGATGTATTACCTAATTCTCAAGTTTATTCATTTTCATTCACCGTTTATCCTCGAGTGAGGATCCAAAATTTGTTAACGTGTTACCTATAGAGCTCGCTAAGCAATAAGGTACAACCGTTAGAGTGAGCGCAGTTATGAAATCCTAAAATAGGACAAAGTAATACTAAAATTTTATGAAATATAAATTTTTTTAATGTATTTTATGAAATAAACAACTTCCGGTTTTACACATCAATAAAAGCGAATTCTCTACAAAGAAAGTAAACTTTGACATGCATTACTGGTTCTCGTTTAATTAAAAGTAAGAAAAAGAAATTTAAAATAAATCAGCGCACATTTATATTATATATTTTTTTCAATAAAAGAAAGATAACTCTTTATATACAAGATATGGAACACGACAACAAACCTATCCTGGTGGAAAGAAAAGAAAAATATATACTTTTCATGTAGTGAGAGAAAAAAAATTAAATCATTTGAACAAATTGTTACAAACATTTCTTTCAGGAGGAAAAATGTATATACAATGTACCTTATATACGTAGCTTAAACTTTGACAGTAGGAACTGACGCTTTCACAACTGACGGAACTTATATTCTTATAGCTGCAGAAATGTAGCTCTCCGAAAAAAAATAAATTTACAGACCGGAGAGCTACAATGCAGTACAGTTAGTTTGTAAACTGACGTGCGAAGTAAATTGTGTAAGAGCTTGTTAATATATTTTTTCGGAGAGCTACATGCAGTTCTCCGGTCTGCCAATATATTTTTTCGGAGAGCTACAGTTCTGCAGCTACTATACTTAAAATCAAAATTATTTCCGCTGCTGCATCTTGCTTTTATTAAATCCGTACATATGGCTACGTGGAATCGACGCAGACTGAATTATAAATTATTAATCAAATGTATGATGCGTTTATCTCACTTTACCTGTAAATATTTCCATTTCTATTTGTTTTATTTCTTGATAATTCTACAGGAATGTAAATTTCGCCAAGCAAAGGTCTATAATTTAAATTTCGTGCGGTTGTCTCTGTGTTTGACGTTGGTGGGCAGGAACTATTGGGCAATTTGAATGTATAAGACCACATTTTCGAAATCTAAACTTACAACTGTCTAATTTGTAGAGTGGGTATGCCAAGGATATCAACGTGGATGTCTTGAAATACTCTACTAACTAAACAGTGACTCCTTTTAAAAATATTAAATTTTGTTGTCTCGAGGTGTGTGAGAGTGGTTATTATTATGATAGAGAGGGTGCGTCTTCATCCTTGTATTATTCATAAGAAAACGGTATAATTGTAAACTTTTTAATAAACTTCAGTAATACTTTAATAATTGCCCAGATGTAATTGACTAAATAGAACATAATATTACGACAAAATATAACCCAAACAAATGTTAATATACTAAAAATAACAACAAGCAGTAAAAAAAACAAATGTAAAGTATTTACCCTTCATATATATAATATTTTACCCCTTTAAGTAACTCTCTCTCCCTCTCTCTCTGTTATATAACCGGAACAAAATAAAACCAAGCAAATAAAAACAAAACAAATATCAAATATTTTTACCCTTCAGATTTGTTATACTCTCTCTCTCTCTCTCTCTCTCTCTCTCTCTCTCTCTCTCTCTCTCTCTCTCTCTCTCTCTCTCTCTCTCTCTCTCTCTCTCTCTCTCTCTCTCATACATAAGAGACAGGTTGCAAATAAATATCTTTGGTAAGTCTGTGATATATACAGGCGGCTGATTTGGCTTTGTCGTAGTGAGGGGTGCTGGGACAATACGTTTCCATGGTAAACGCCATCTTCCCACAGACTCTTGTTAGACTCGTCAGAAGATCTTCGTTTGTGTAAGTGATGTCCCGGAACACGTGGTACAAACAGTACATCAGCCAGCCACCCTTTCCCTGATCGGACCATGCTATAGTACCTAGAGAGTATATACTACACAAAATGGGTGTTTATTATCAAACTAGCACCATATTATATAATAAATAAAAATTTAATATTTTTCTACTCGTTATTATTCAATGTTATAAATATCATTCATGTACTGGGTAACACGACCATAGTTTGAAGCAAACTTGAGATGTGCTTCTTCATGCGACTTTGAAAGATAACAGTTTCTTAGCAAAGGTGATAAAAGAGACATTTTTGAAAGCCAAGACATGACTGTATTAATATCAAATACATTTGAAGTCTTTAATAATGACATGCTAGAAAGTCTCACCTGCTGCAGAAGAAAACATCACCAGGAAGTCATTAAAACACGGAATCTGAAAGACTTCTATGTTCTGCGGTTCGGTATCTATATTTGGAATTTTGTACGTTGTGGTGCGACTAGGAGGTTCTCTTGGCTGGTTACTCATTACAGCCTGCGCTTTCACCACATAACCATGTGCTTGTCGATAATTTCCAGTGTATTGTCCAGATAAACCATAAACACTTCTTTCTTCATACACTGGATTAAGGCTAACAACATTAAAATTATTCCGGAATTCTTCAGGTCGTCGACCCGCATAATCGTCATATTTGCCTCCAACATCGGCATCTGTAGCTTTTCTTACGTCTTTGGTCACATCCGGTTGAATAATGTGGACTGGTACACCCTTGTCAACTTCGTCATCTTTCTGTACATCAAGTCTACCCCTACAGGCCTAAAAAGATATATCAATCGACCATATCATAAAAATCATTTATTTCCTAGAAATACTCCACTCCAATTAAAAATCCCCAAATCTAGCTATGCATTCCCATTTAAACTTTTTTTTGGAGAGAACGATCATAGGCATTTATGCCTGCTGTTCAATCCATTTCTTTATGAATAAAATATATTTTAAAGTAAACTTTTTTCTCAAAATGGTCACCATTGCCATTGCCATGGTAATGGGCGATTTTCCAGTAACAACCAAGTCTTTGGAAATAATAAAGGTTTATTCATCGAAACAACAAAGGTTTATATTCATTGCATAAAAACAACAAGCAAACAATATGTGTTTGTGAAACACTGATGCCCCCTTAAGACAACAAAGCGAAGATTAAACTTTTCTTATAAGCAAATTAAATATAATGGTACTCAAAGTTGGGTCTTCTCACAAAAAATACAATTCTGAAATATGATAGCCCTAGCACCATCTGTTCAAAGGTGATGGCCAAGGATAAGTTTTTGAAAGGTAGGTCTAACTCCAAGGTCAAAGGGTTAAAGTTGTTGGCTTCTTAAAAAAGGACTTGTCAAAAGGATTACATAATTATGTAAAGTATGAAAGCCTTAGCCTTAACCGTTCAAAAGTTTTTAAAAAGTAGGTCAAATTCAAAGGTCATAGGGTCAAAGATCTTGGTATCATATGAAAGTTCTTGTCACAAGGATTAAATATGTGAAGCATGAGAGCCCTTGCCCTAAACCTTCAAAGGTATGGTCAAGGTTTGTTTTTAAAAAGTGGATCAAACTCCAAGGTCAAAGGGACAAAGTTCTTGGTATCCGATGAAAGGTCTTCTCATAAAGATTACATATGTGAAGTATGAACGTTCTAATCCTTACCTATACTATGAAAGTTCTAATCCTTACCATTTAAAAGTTATGGCCAAGGTTAAAAGTTTTTCATAAGTACTGAAATCTCCAAGATCAAGGTCAAAGTTGCTGGTATTCAATGAAAGGTCTTGCCACAAAAAATACACATGTGAAGTATGAAATCCTAATATCTACAGTTCAAAAATTATGGCCAAAGTAAAAATTCAGAATTTTTGTGTAAAAGTGGGTCAAACTCCAAGGTCAAGGTCAAAAGGTCAAATTTGATGGTACCCAAAGAAAGGTCCTGTCACAAGGAATACATATGTGAAATATGAAAGTCATAGCTCCACTAAATTAAATTTTAAGGGCAAGGTTCAAGTTTTTGCGGACAAACAGTCACACAGACAAACAGACGGACACGACAAAAACTATATACCCCAGAATCTTCGATTACGGGGGTATAAAAATTTGGAACTAGTAGGACAATTTATAGTTTTTTACTTTGCTTGAAATCATCTTCAGTACTGCATTGTTCGGTCAGTATGGTCTGATAATAACATATGGTTACAACAACAAAGTTTCTTGTATACTGTTATTGGGGAACTTACGAGATCACGGTCCCCAAGGTATCCTGGTCTTTTTTACCAGGCAATGCCGAAGGAACTTGCTCTTGTTGTGGGAAACTGAAATATTCTAACTCAAGTGATTTTTAACCGATTTATATACCGATACAAAGTGAAATCTAACGGATAACCGGGAATTAGCTCTCGCAACAGGGATTAGATCACTTGACTAACGCATAGTAATGCGTAGATTAGTCCATTCACATATACTGCTACGGAATTAGTCATATCTGAAGACCTTATTTTATATAGGGGAAATCAAAAGAGGTATAACAATCCATATAAATGTTAAATGGGTGGTAAGATTCCTTACAAATTACTTTTCTACTTCGCAAAGATTTTAATATCACCTGAATGAAAAACATCCTTGGTTTCCCTCTCAGAGCTCGACAGTTCTGATTATTAAATAACTCCAGGAGTTCTGTAGTTCTAACAACCCCGTCTTTGGTGTAGAAGAAATGTTCTGTTCGAACAAAAGGTTCGGGACCTCTCCCCTTAGTGCTTGTTTGTCCCTCCATACCATGTGAACTGAGGACACAGGCAAAACAGTCCGATTCTTCAGTAATGCTTTTCTGTATACCTGTAATTCATTTACAAGCACCACATCACTATTAATTTAAATCAGTTAAGCTATCGAAATAAAATAAATGATAACATTTCAAACGGTTCTAGATCTTAATTCATTTTTACAATGAATTTTGAGTTATTGGAGCAAAATGTTACCAAAAACTGTTTACTTTTCATTTCAGTGAGAAGTTTTCTAGAAGTAAGGTTTTCAAGAACGTTTACTTCAAACCCCATCTCCTGGAACATTTTACGCATGAAGTATAAATCCCATGCAGCATTTTTTCTTTCAGATTGGCTGTCAAATATACTGTTAATTACAAGGACAGCATGACCGATCTTCTCGTGGCGGAAGTTGTATCTGGTATCGTCAACAGACGGCTGGTGGCCATGATCGGTTTGTGGGCGGGACGACTCTGGGTATGACCAGTTGAGTTCTTCGGAGCCCTGTGATTGACGTATGGTATCTTCAGACTCTGGTACGCTGGGAACTGCACGTGGTTTCCGGCTGTTCTGATTGGTTCGAGTCTCCAAAAGACCGGTTTTATCTTCGTCGATATTGGTTTCTGAGGGAGGTCCATTTCTTCTTTTCTTTTTCTTCGACTTAAGACCAAGAAAACTGAAAATAAAGAATTTGACAGGTGTAATACAGTCAGGTATTATCTTCCTTAAAAATTGTAAGCCTTATAGGGACAAATTATCATATGGTCCAATGATACAATGACGGTCCTTCTAGATTCTTATCACAGTTTGAAAAGAACAAAACCTTAGTAAGGGTGATTAGTGTATCTAAACAGAACAGGTATGAGCACTTAAACAAGTAACAGGATATCTTTTACACTGACTAACAGCTACTCAGAAATTTAAGCACCGTCTGTTGACGCCTCATCATCGACATTGTTTGCCTTTATTATTTGCTCTATTCCTTACCTCACAAACTATTAAAATATCAACTTTCAAGAGTTTAATTCTTTATTGATTTTTTTTATGTGCGATCTTTTTACAACTAAATTTGGGTTAACGACAATGTCCTCATATGGTGATCAAATGACTATTCCGTATTGTAGAGTTTTTGGGAGTATATTAGAACTCTGTATATAAATAGCTTCCATTAAAAACGTGTTTGTTAAACTGTCATACGGGACATCAAGGTTCCACGAGCTCAACTTTTTTATCAAATGATCTAGAATTATTGAAAAAATTCCAAGAAATGTATATTTCTTCCTATAAACACCATAAAAGACCGACTTATGTATTAATAAGATTTAATTAGCCAGAAAATTTCTTACTCTTTCAGTGTTTTGTTGAAGGCAGCTTTCAGTCCGTCAGGTTCTGATTCTGTAAAAGAGTTTTTATTTCTAGTAATTTTAATAAGTAATAAAAGGATTATTTTGAAATAAATAAAATAATTAGCAGCGAGAGGAATTTTTATCAAATACACTTTCTTTACTGAAATTCCACAATATTTAATTTTCGGTCATGATATTTGACAAATGTTCGAAATAAAATATTAAATAGACTGATTCTGATTATATAACTTTTGATACATGAATTCAATATTTCTTCCGTTCCAAAGCATTCATCTCTCGGTAATCATAATATAAAATTGTGCCACCAATGCTAAAGTAAATTGTGGTACGTAGAAGGAAAAATGCAGACTTCGGATGCATAATGATATGCACGTCTGTATGTACTCAAATTTCCTCTTTTTTAAAAAACGAAAGTCCTTGAGTCTCGTGACTGGACATACGGGTTTTTTTTTATGCGTTAGGTGATTCGTGTTGCATTGTTAGGTCACTAACGATATGTTATCAATATTTCTATTGACATTTTTAGTCGTTTGATAGTTGTCAGTGTAATCTACAGAAAAAACAAATACAATGTATTCAGGACTTCTAGAAGCAGCAAATTGTAATCCTCCCTAAAACAAAACAAGTCGATCTTTAGCATTTCTAAAACTAAACACGAAGTCTGCAGAATATTTGCCATGTTCTGGCTTATTATATATATAATTATTAAAAGGACGGAAGTTTTCTTTTGTTGTTTGTCATATCTTTATAAGTTAGTCTATTCAAGAGGCACTAATATTGACGAGTTTTGGGTCAAGTTTTTCTTTTCTTCTGATCCAAACGGCGTGAACCACACACAGATGAACAGTTTGACATTCACTGTCATTACATAGGAAACTCGTTACACCTTACTAGATGAAATTCTTTATCATTGAGATAACATCATATTTCATAACTTAACTAAAATTATCGGACCAACATTGTAAGCTTTTATCTAGCACGGTCGATTTAATCTATTCTTACCCTCGGTTAAATCTTCCAAGTTTTCACGAAACTCTTTCTCCTGATGTTCCGGCTCCATTTCCCACTATTTCACACCGTATCAACGAATTATCCCGGTGAGGACATTGGGACTAGCCCCCTACGACAAAGGTTAAATTTAGAACAGAAATTCCAGAAAAGCCAACAGGAACCCGAACACACAATCAATAATCAGTTGACTGTCGGAATGCCCCCGGATTACGTGGAACAAGTTTAAAGAGAATAGGTCCCCTAATCCCCTGCTCGTAACCGTTGTTCACTCATCCATAGAACCAGTTTACATTGTATCCCAATACACACGATTAACAAACAAAAACGAATGGGTCAAAAAAGCAAATGGTGGGAAAATATGGTTTAAAGCAAAGCCTTGTTTTGATAACACGGGCTTGTAAGTGTAGCCATTCTGCTGCATTGATGCAAAGTGAGCCGACGTCTATTTTTTTTTTTGGCAGAATTTCCCACAAGTTTATCAGTCAATCACCTTTATCTATACCACGTGATAAGATATTCATGATTTCTTATTTGTAACTTACTGAAGGTTAATGTTTCACTTTTGGCCACCGATTTAAATGGATTCCTAAATATTCTTTACATTTCATTCATGAAAGTAACAAAGAAAAATTCTTTAACTCGAAAATCGAGAAATATTTTTACTACAATACTTGTTTCAATGTGTTTTTATACCACCCCAATCGAAGATTTGGGGGTATATAATTATGGTTTTCATCTGTCCGCCTTTCTATCAATCTTTCTTTTTGTCTGCAAAACGTAGTGCGATTTCCTTATGACAAGACCTTTCAAAACTGTTTCGAAACTCATATATCATGTATATTGGCCCTAAAAATTGTACTTAATTTTGTTCCCTGCTGAAAGGGGATATTAATTTCGGTCTGTCTGTCCGTCCGTTTGGTACGCTTTGGGGTACCCATCTCTTATCCGCGACTCCCCTTTTACCACTGAATGAAATTTAATGATACTTTCAAAGAATCTTTGTTACATGTATATACTGCCATTGTTACCTCCTATTTTACTTTTTGATCGGACACATATTTTGGGTTCCCCAGAGTAAAACATGAGCACGGTCATTTTCTTTTAGATTAAAGGGTACACATCTTGTGTCCGTAACTCCTTCTAAACCACTGAATAAGATTTAATTATACGTTCACAGATTCTTTATTACATAATGCCATTATGCATCTCATATTTTTCTTTTTAGTCTTACACTTATTTCGGGTAACATTTAGTGAGCTTATTGCTCCCAGTATACCTCTAGTTTAAAATTAAATTTAGCTATCTCCTAAGTCAAATATTCTCGACTTCCATATTTACGACAAAACACATTATTTTATAAATACATGAGAGACTTTAACTGTATATTTAACCCTTAATTAAAATACAAGTGATAAAAGTATATCAGAAGTTTCTGATAAGACTCTAGCTCTACTGGTCTGTACGTATAACAAAAGAAAAGTAACACTTGGATTGAAAATTTGCAACAGGGGTAATAAACAGAATTATGAATCTTATTGTAGTCTACTTGTATTCCAATTTTTACATGTATTGAAATCAAACAAAAACTTCAAGAGTTGCATTTTGAAAGTATTTCACAGAAATTTCTATTTTTTAGTAACCATGGCAACACCTTTCAAACAATCACCAATGTACTAAATATTATACTTTAATATAGTTTACTTGTGTGCTAATTTATGCTGAAATCAACCATAATTTTAGGAGAAGTATAGTTTTTGAGGGAATTTCACGTAAACTTCTATTTTTAGTAACCATGGCAACACCGTTCTTTGAAATCATGTTTTGCATGTTGTTTAACGTCCCTCTCAATAATTTTTCACTCATATAGAGACGTCATCACTTGCCGATGAAGAGCTGCAAATTTTGTCCAATACTCGGCACTTAAGGCTATTAAGCAGTGAGGGTTTTTTTTCGTGCCAACACCTACAGTGACACGGGACCTCGGTTTATACATTCTCATCCAAAGGGTCCGGTCTCCACGTCCCACGGTGGGATTCGAACTCGCGACGTAAGGATCACTTCGCAACTCTAGTGGATGGTTGGAACATTGTTAATATTTTTTTTTTATTTTTTAATCATTTTCCTCAAAACTGCTTCTGAAAAAGTCAACTGCTATAGTCCTACAGTACTTGCTAAAGTCTTCAAAACTAATACATTGACATTTGGAGCATTGCTTCCTGTAAAATCAGCAAATACTAGTACTGTAGAAGCGAACGAATTGCAAAATGTAAAGTAAACGGTATTTAACGACATTCGTTTAAGGCTGCTGCTTGCAATGTGAGCGGTATTGAGCAGCAGTTGTCCATGGCAGTGCATAGATAAATTCCCCTCAATGTTATTCACAATACCAAAATCATCGTTCTTTGAAAAAGTCACAGCAATGTTCACTTCATGTACAATAACTCAAAATGAATCCATACGATATACAAGAATATCGAACATATCAGTAACAAACCTGACGCATAATACATGAAATCATATGTGGTACGTACGTGACTTACAGTTTAATTCAAATGGACATTGGTCTTTAGCAAGTGCAAATACACAGTTTGTTCTTTGGACTATCCAACTTACTGTTTGGTATTATTGTACTTTTATTATGCTTAAAGAAGAACAAAATTTTGCAAGTTTACAGTTGCACACCTTCATGAATGCTCAGGCTGTCTGATGCTTTCTTGGCTTGTCAAGCATTTCTATGAGGCTGTGCCCCTTCTCAAACTGAAATTGCTTCCTGCGGGCCTAAGTTTCCTCGAAGTTTCTTGTACAGAAATTTCGAAATAGTCTATGGTCCATCTTTAAATGATATAAAAGATTTTTTTTCATTTTTTAAGCTTGAACGGAGGAAAATGAATGTCTTTAGACAGTTTGTGATAAATGCAGGCGGTGCTCTTTGACTGATGGGCCCTCTTGTTACACGGTATAAATGCTTCTCTAGTCGCCACATCTCCACAAACTTGTGTCAAAAGTGAAAGTAGGTCCTCCCCAGTATTACTGGAAAACACCTTTTGTAAGGCTGAGAGAAGCCAGCCACCTTCCAAATCTTCAGACCACGCATATTTACCTGGAAAAAATTCAATGTGTAGTTTATTGTCCAAGCATCCTTTGCAGCTGGTGAATTAAAAGTATTTTGAAAATGATCAATTTAAATAAGAATAAAATTCTGTTTCTTGATGGCATAACACGAGTATTTCAAATATAATCCTTTAAAAATGTTAGTTTGCGTCTATATTTGATGACTAAAACATACTTTCTTGCAGATATATTTCAATACAAGTGTACTTCTTATATTTTGATAAGCAATTTTCAATTTTTGTTTTATTCCTTGACTGGTTTGTTGGCTTTTTTGAGAGAGATAAGCTGTTCATTGTTGCCCATACAAAGTTAAAACTAAAACAAATTAAGAAAAGATGAAGAAACATTTTTTCCGACTCTGCAAAAGTACAAGTCGCCGAATTCAGTGAGACAAATGACTTTGCCATAGATATTTTGGGAACTTGAGAAATCAAATGAAAAGATTGCATTATTTTGATTTGTTTTTGCCCCTCCCCTTCTCAACCCCCGGCATGCTGAGGGAGGAGTGGTGATATGTAACCCGAGTTACCCATGTGTCCAAAAACTACTTTTTACCTTACATTGAGTAGATGAATTCTTTAAAAAGGTTGTATATTGACCGATGAAACGATATTATTGGGGGAGGAAAATATCAATGTTGTGTTAGGTAAAAGTAGACATAAATAGTGCTTTTAGGTAAAACTTTCGTCAATATATATCTAAATACCTGAGGTAGAAGAAAACATCACCAAGGAATCGTTGTAACATGGGATTTGGAACACTTCCTTGTCTACAGAATCGTCGTCACTTTCGTCGCCGTTATTTTCTAACAAATCAACACCTTTATCTACACCCCTTCCTCGACAAGCCTAATAAATACAATGCGATAATAAATATTTTAAATGTTCAAATGCCTTGTTCTCGTACAGATATTTTGTGAAATTAGTTTATTCTTAAGGTGCTCTGACCTGAATGAAGAATAACTTGGGTTTCCCTTTGAGTGCTCTACATTGCTGATTGTTAAACATGCCTACAATCTGCCGTGTCCAGACTGCGCCTTCCGTGTTCAACAGATAGTGCTCGGTCTTTGTAAATGATTCTTTAGGATAACCATTATAAAATCCTGGATCCTCTCCTCCATGGGTACTGATGACACATACAAAGCAGTCACAATCACTAGGCATCTCCTTTCGGATACCTAAAACAAGACACTTTATATTACTGGGGGAAAGTTCAAGGCTCGGATCCTCCATGCTTTTTTTCAATAACTGTTATTCAATTTCCATGAAAAAGTAACAAAAAATGATCTTCCACGCTCCATAGAAAAGGACCACTTTAAACAATGTACTGAGAGTAAATTAGAAATGTCTTCTCACTTCACTATCAAAATAGGTTTTCAGGATTTGACAAGTTTGTTTTTTGTCCCTGAAAATACTATTGAAATGTATGGACTACACTCAAAGCTTTACACAGTCTACAGTATTCTTTAATTGGTGAAAGCATTACACAATCAGTGGATACCTACCTTCAAGCTCTGATACTAGTTCTACATTTGTAAGATTAACAAACTCCCTCACTTCAAAACCCATAGAATCAAATAGTTTGGACATATCTTCAAGGTCACGTTTTACTCCAGGTAAATTTTCGTCTTCATCTACAAACTCATAATTCATTATAAGAACAGCGTATCCTTTTTTGGCGTTCCTGAAACAGTAGATATGTTCGTCCTTTTCGAAAGATGGCTCCACATCAGAATTATGTATAAAGGACCCTGTTGGATAAACTTTATTTGCCGAAGACTGTGATCGAGACGGATTCTGTTTACTGTAATAAAATTAAACAGTTTAATACTAGCACAGTTATAACTTACATCAGCATATACTTTTGCTAAGATTTAAACAAAAGATTTTCTTTCAAAATTAACAATCAAAAACAAAATCATAAACTTGAACTTAAATAAACCCTCTGAAGGAAGCCATAGAGAGTGTATAATAAATCTTACTCATCCGTTTTGTTTTGGTCGTTTAGAGCTATATTTTCCATGTCTTCAGTGTCATCTGTGTTCTAACATAAAAAGGAGAAATGATGAATCGGGGAAATTGTGTCAGGGTTTAATAAGATCTCTCTTCTTTCCAGAGGAGAACAGATGTGCACTATTGTTGCTGTGAAAAGGGACATCCGCCGGAAATAACTTAATTGAAGATAAAAAATAAATTTTGAATTTATTAATAGTGTATATCATAGTCTTCTGTCCTTGTGTCAAAGAAACTTTTCATATGCTGATACTTTATAATCAGAGCCATCCAAAATTCATTGACATATTTTTTTTTGCCCTGACCTTTCCTTTGACCTTAACCTCATTTTAATTACTGTCACAATCGTGTTTTTCTCCCAAGGTATTATGATAACCTGTAAGTGCATGGTTCAAAAAACGACTATTAACGATAATGTAGTTTACTAAATAACATAACAAATGAAATTCTATATATTTATTAAGTGAGACACTTAATTTCTAGGGTGTTCAATGGAACAACCCGAGAAAGATTCTCTCCAATATATAATAAATATACTTATCTTCCATCTCATGAAAAACGATGTTTTCTCTTTACGTTTTGTTTACAATTGCCTTAAATAAATATTTCATATGCTAAATCAACACTACCAAAAAAAAAATACTTTTACCTATTCCATATAGTTTAGAAGGTGATAGTTCGGTGAAGGGGGTGGGAAGGAGTCTTAAAATCTCAATGGAAAATAACACTTACCTAGCACAATATAGGTCAGCGCCCTTGTAGGTATGCTCCTCCACCCCTATAGCGCCGGATGGTACTTTGTTATGAACGATTCAGTGACACGTAAACAGAGCCATGCTGCCTGTCTGTACACACAACTGATCTCTTAATCCCGGACCACGTGGACAGGATTTTACAGAACTAAATTTAAAATCTTAAGAGGACCTTGCGTAATTAACGACGAGCCTTGTTACCGGACCGTGGTGATATACTACAGTATATATGTATCTGTCCATTCATAGTCAGCTGATGATCGAAATCGATACCTCTCCGACAGATATCAACATGACTTAGTTACAACAATCGTTTTATTCGTCAGATTAACCTATCTGTATTGCAATGGCTGTTTGATTGTTCATATCTTGGCAATTGAATATAAATTAAAATTCCAAGTTCTTCATACCCAACAGCTTGGACGGTTCCTTAAAGATATAAATATTTTATTAAATTCAACAGCCACGTAACAGGGGGCATATTTGACCACTGAAATTTTCTTTGAAGGTCTTTGTTATGTCAGAAATGTTTATGTTAAAAAAAGGGAACCTACCATCTCTAATCATGTAGCATTTAAAGCACGTTCATTAAATAGAAAATAAATAAAACAATCAATTTCATTTTATTTGTTTCTTTGAGGTATGAATTTATTCAGCACCCAAACCCCTTTCTATGCTGAACATCCTGAATCCACCTCCTAGAAGTCTTTAAAATACATTTATGTTTTAGCTGCTATGAGGGAAAAGTAGACAAAACCAATATTATAAGAAAAGACAGAATATTTTTTTTTTTATTTTGATTTGTAACAGTATTAATCGATGTGATAATAACATATTCGGACTTTGTTACTCAGTCGTGGGCAAAAAAACTGTTTTACGTCTGCTGATGGACTTTCTGCTCAACCTCCATCTGCTGCATTTGTTCAGTTTCGATCTCCCCGTTCTGATGGACGGTGAAAATATAATTATACTCCTGTATGGACCCCTGAACTTCCTCCTCCGTCGTCAGAGAAGATCTGAAGTCCTCATCAGTGATCCCCACCTGTCTTAGTATTGTCCTCGCTTTTTCTGACATTTCCTCTAGAGACTTCTTTCTAAATTTTACCGACTGTGAACGAAAGACCATGACCTCGCCAAAGCCAAGAGATTCTAAACGTTCAAAGAATTTCACGGCCGCCCACGATGGATGGGTGGTCCGCGGAGAAGACGTCCTCTGTACCAGGGGAACGGGCGGGAAAAGGCGGTACTGGCAGGCGTAGGAGGAAGTGATGAATACTCCTTTTGTCAACAGACATTTTCTGATTTTAGCGCAACACAGTTGTACAAAAATACTATCACTGCATGTGAATATGCATGTTTTGAGTTGTGTTTTGTCGGTCAAACGTTTGGGGGCAGGAATAAATCGACGGTTCACATGAAGCTGATGTGGTCGAAGTTTTAATGGCGGAGGTGGAGGACGAAATTTGCCTCTTGGTCGAAGAACGCCAGAATTGTTAAACTGTTTACTGTCGCCATCCAGAGGTAGTGTTTGATTTGGTTCGTAATGTTGGCGATTACTTGTCTCTTGATTAAGTGGAGGGTGTTTGGGGTGACCGATCACTTCCTGTGGTGCACTTGGATAATACACGCTGCTTGTTTCTCGCTCACTCTGGCTAGTGGCATTGTCTCTGTTCTCCATTGTCCACATGGTGACGTCAGATTGCTGATTCCGAGCTGGTTCGTCGCCATTGGTCTCCACTGAGTCGTCACGTTTTGGTATAATTCTGGCAACGGGTTCATTGTTGCCATCCAGAGTGATTTCTATGACGTCATCTTCGTTCTCTCTCCCACTGAATTCATTTGTAGTATTCATCGATGTAAGTAGCTCAACTTCACTACTAAGAATAGAGTGAAATAGTTCGGAGTATGTAGCACTGTCAGATCCATGTAGCAGCAGACATTTTTGTCGCAGCAGGTACAGCGAGACAACAAACATAGACTGCACAGTCGTTTTGGTTATGGTAAAATCTGTGTTGGGTTCTGTCATTGCAGCCGTCAAAGCAGTTGATATGACGCTTAATCGCGCCATTTGGGACATCACGTGATTAGCACAACCTCGTTTCAGTTCATCATTATGGCACTGTTTCTTAAGAGAATTGACTATTCCGGACATTCTGAAAAAGCAAGCGAGAAACGTTACAGCGCTCACCTGAGCACATCAGGCTTAAATTTACTCCACCCCCCCCCCCCCCGGCGTTCATCATTTGAACAAACTAGAATCTACACTACCTGAGGATGATTCTATATAAATATCACAAGTCATAGCTTTGAAGTACTTGCATTTTGGCCCCACCCTAGCCCCGGGGGTCATGATTTGAACAAACTTGATTCTACACTACCTGAGGATGATTCCACATGAGTTTCAACCTCGTTTCAGTTCATCATTATGGCACTGTTTTTTAAGAGAATTGACTACTCCGGACATTCTGAAAAAGCAAGAAGGAAAAAAACTTAGAAAGATGTCATTTTAAGTAAATATAATGTATTAAATCCAATTTTTTATTGGAAAGCGAGATGTATAACACTTTAAGACAAAGCTTGCATATGCAAAAGTACATGTCATTTTTATATACTGGGTATATATTTTCCAAGACGGAAAGGAGTTATTTTAAATTATTTTAAAAGCAGTTTAAATGCTTATATACGAAGATCATCAATCTCCAGTCATCATAGTGCAAAATAATTTAAATAAATCTATCTGAGACACACAGGAACCTTCTTGATTTTCAGTAAACAAATCTTTTGGAAGTATACCTCTCAAACTCTCGTGTCGCCTCTTCACTGAATGTGTAAGTAACATCTTTATCAACATGTAAATCGTATATCTTTTGGAGTATTGTATCTAAAGTTTCACTTGGTTTGATAGATGTCACAATATCTTCAGAATCCCTTGCACACAAAACTAAAATCCTATCCACAAGCCGCCCCGGGTCAGGCAAGTTAACGATCTCCGAGATATTGGCTGCCTGGACCGCTGCTATGACGTTTACACAGTTGCTAGGAGGACCACCATTCTGTTCTGAACAAGAGGTCAAGGACGATTGCAAGGTGCGAAGATTCCAGATATCAGGTATTTGTATCACCTCTTTAATAACATTGTCAAGGTCGTCTATAATAAACATACGACTTCCCCTGATTCTGCAGGTTTCTGTAATGTTATCTACAAAGGACTCGTCTATGACCGCGACCTGGGGTTTGTCCTCTATTTCTTTGTCGTCTTTGAAGTTTTTCATGTGTCGACTACAAGTTTTAATACAATTTAATACTGTCGACTTTCTTTCACCTCGTCTTGCTGCTACAATGCCAGTAAGGTTAAGATATTCTGTCCAACTTTTGGTAACCTTGACCTTTGTATTGGGTCCCATTGCACTGGCTACAGACACAAACACAGGTAATAGTAGCAGATCCAGTTCACATCCTAAGGACTGCGCATGTGCACAAAGCTCATCGTGCACCTTGCTTTCAAGTAGTAGTTCCCATTTTATCTTATAGGATTGCGCCAGTTTGAAAATTTCCATCCGGTCGTCCATAGTGAACATCAAATCTAAAGCAAATAATTTTATGTTTAAATTTTGTTTTTATTAAATTTTTACAACGTTTAGTACCTAATTTTATGTATATAAATATTCATTGTAAATATTCAATTTTCCATAAAACAAGTACAATACACATAACTTTCTCTTTATTAAAATATATTTAATTATTATTTATATATTTAAAATATATATATGCTACTTTTACTTTTCAGATTAACTGCAATTGCTATTCCAATATAGTCATTTACCCTACACAGTGCTAAAATCTCAACAATAGATCTAGATCTATTCAAGAATACAAAGTATCTCAACTATCAGTAAACATTGTCAAAACAAAGGATATAATAGAATATAAAGTTAAAGAATATGAGATTCCACACGAACGAAGCTACATGTGGCAATTAATAATACGATCAATACATAGCAACTACATATGAACTAGCGAAGTCCATTGTGAACTGATATTCAAGCAGACGCCCTGACTATTCACGTTAAGTTTATGATACCAACCTACGGAGTCAAGGTGATTCAATTTAACAAGAAATACTGTTTAATTGTTCAACATCTTTAAAACTTACCAACACGGAACACTGTAGCGAAAACCTTAGCAAAATGGCGGATATCGCAGCCGCGGCACGCTAATCCGGGTCTCAATGCTAATGTTTAGGCTACAGTGTTCTAAATATAGAGCTCGCCACTATAAACTAGCCGAGCAAATCGAAGTCTTTACGCGCTGGTGTCAGGTAAAGATTAGCGAGCTAATAAAAGCTATCAGGGCACCTTGGGGGCATAGACAGCGCGAGTTAGTAATCTGTCTGGACTTTTAAATCAGATGCATGAAGAAAAGTTATGAATAATTGTTACGTCTCAACGTTCACATGAAACTGTGTCAAAAGTTTATTTACGTGATTAAAGAATTTAAATAAACTACGTCATAAAAATCATCTAAGGAAATGTTAAAATTTTCAACGTATAGGCCTACACATACATATACATGATGGATATTATCTGAGAGTTGTGCAATTGCTAAGACGATCTGTTTAGCAGTTCACGGACTTTTTTCCACTTTGGAAAAATATATTTAATCTTTCTGTTTGTGGTCATTAAATACAATTCTTTGATCCTCTTCCTCTTTGAGCCGAAAGCCATCCACTATTTACAAACATTTTCCTTGGATCAATTGTAACAGTATCAGTTTATTTTGTTTACTTCCTCATTTTTAATTATCTATTTCCCATGTGTGATTCCATTTCAATGGCACATTTATTTAAAAAAGAATAATCGGTACCTTCCACATTTTGACACTATATGGAAATAAAACAGGACGCAAAACTGTTTGACCTATGGGGATAAGCGCTTCGGTCTAAAATGAGCCATTGCCTCAAACATGAAACATGTAAGGAAGCTTTATATTGTGAAGCTCAGCTAAAGTTTGGTATGGGAGAGTTTACATTTGGGAGCTCTAGGGGTGTGCTTCCATTATGTAGGAAGCATGACGAGGACCGGGATATGTGTTGTGAAGATTGCAAGACCATCTTCTGTGTGACGTGTGGCCAGACAGAACATAAGGACCATAGATGGGGAAGCATTAAGAAGATATCTGCCGAGAAAAAGAAGGATATCCCAGAAATCTGCCAGGGGATACGAGGCTGCATCCATGAAATTACAGAAAGCTTATCGTTCATCAACCAAATAGAATACGAGCAGGAAAAGAGACACTCGGGTCAAATCAGAAAGCTTGTCAGGCAGCAAGATGATATGGCGACAGAGGTCTTCAGGATTACTAATTTCAATATCGAGAAGTCCAAAGAAATATACACGCGCTGTCAACAAAGGCTTGTCAACTTGAAGACCAATCTCAGCAACTTTAAACAAGACTTGCAAGACAAGGCAAGATTTCTGGAAACACAGTCCGGTTGCATGTCTGGATTTCAACTAATCGAGACAAAAAACGAAGCGGAGGCGCTGATCACCGAAGTTAATAACATTGATTTGACGGCTTACGGTTATCTCCCTTGTTTCTTCAAGGGTACAATGGATCACGCCGCCCTGGAAACTATGTATGGCAAGCTGATAGACCCAGAACACGTAAAAGTTATAAGGCTAGCAAACTTTAAAAACTTTTCGAACACGATTGTGTCCATCCATTCTGTGTCAGAGGAAGCTGCATGGGTCCATGGATGGGACTGCAGTGCCTACCTGCTTAACACAAGCGGAGTTACTAAAAATTCAATAGAAATGAAAAGTGTTTCAAATGACTTTATCGTGTGTTCTGATGGAGCTCAAATATTCACAGATTTTGAAAACGACGAAGTCAAGAAATTGGACGAAAGTGGCACAATATCAACCCTTGTCTCAACAAAGCCACTTACACCAATAGGAATTGGGAAAGCCCTGGATGGGAATCTGTTTGTTGCCTTAGTAGACGATTACAGTTTTAAACTAAGCACAAGTAGTAAACGTTTGATCAAATTGATCTCACCTGCTGGGGAGGAATTGACGACATATGAATTTGACAAAGATGGAACCACAAAACTTTTCACCAAACCTCATCGTGTTTTCCACAACTATAACAGCGATATTTGCGTCATAGACCAGACTGGCCAATCAAGCGGCGTCCTCCGAGTTCTCTCGTCAGATGGCGCGCTCAAATTTGATTACCGCGGAAACTACGTCAGAAAACGTTTCGATCCGAGAGGTCTTGTGTGCGATGCTCAGTGTAACATAATTGTGACAGATTGCCTCCACAACTTCATTCACATGTTGAGTTCATGCGGTGAATTCATTCGTTATCTCGTGACAAAGCAAGAAGCGTTCGATTCGCCATACTCGGTTGATCTTCATAAGTCTTGTTTATGGGTTGGTGGCAAGAATGGTGATATCAGTGTTTATAAATACATTTCTCAAGGCTGAATTATCAAAAATCTACATAGCATGATTTTCCTATTGTTTTGCAGAGGTATATAAAATTCACTCATGAGGCAGCTGGCAATCAAATAAAGTGATTGTTTCATCATCTGATTATTTCCGACGAGCAAAGTTTATCGTACATGCACTGGACAGTGTATATGAAGATTCCAATGCTCGGCAACCCATGACAATCTCTGACTTATGTTCTTAATTGAGAATATGGAAGAAAATCAATGGAAATTCCGAATGAACCTAAATTATTAAATCAGTAATATCAGATTCATATATATGATAAAATTAACGTTAAAGCACTCTACCATTTGTATATTTTATACTAGAAATAAATAAATACTGTAGATGTGCAAAAAGAAAAAAAAAAAAATACCGGAATATATTTTATTTATGTATAAATAATAGAAATAAGAATTTTAATAAATATCTTTTCTGATTTTCTGTGTCTTGTACTTATCACAATAAAACAACAGTCCTGCACAGAAGGACAATGACTATGAAAATCTTTTTTTTCACTGTGTGTTTTTGACGCTTTTGATTTCTCCCAGGTTGTGATTCGCATTGTCGTTGCTTATTTTTCAGTATTGATACTAAGATTTATATGATTTTTCATAAAATTTGAAATAATTCAATTTAAAATAAAATAGATGAAATCTATATTTCTTGAATTGATACTCAAGGAAATCATTTTAGAAATTAATGGAAAATGGAAATTATTTTCAAAATATCTCTCCCCCCCCTCTCCCTTTGAAGCAAAAATTCCCTATTTTGTCAAATATCAAGGATCTTATATGTTACCTGGGGAAGAAGGAGTTAAGAACTCAGTGCAGGAAAAATGTTCAATTACAATTCTTTTCTTCATGAGCTTAATCTGGTTATTTTTACACATAAAGTTAAACAAATTGAAAGAGGAAACGGATATTTTCCGTTTTCTTGAGTATTTCAAAATCCGGGGATGTTTTAAACAGTTCGATTAAACTCCTTATGTCTTCTTTTATGGCGGAAGTTGTAAGAGCAATTTTAAAATCAACATTAGTACTAAAATTGTGTATCAATTACTTTGAAGTCAACTCTGCATTCAAAGAGTCTTGAATAGCAAAATTGCCAAAATGTTCATGTTAAATCTTATGTAGGAATCAAGAGTTAGTGTGCATAGTACAATGAACATTTTGCCCGTTAGAAATTATATATTACACATTTTTTTTGCACTCGAGCATTTATTAGCTTCCTTCAGTTAATTAAAATGAAAATTTTCAAGTAGAGTGTTTCAGTGGTGTAAGAGTTATTCAAAGTCTTCCATACAGTTGTTTTCAAAAATTTGAAGGATAATCAGGAAAGCCTGAAATTCTAATCCAGTTCTCCTCTCTCTAACATTCGTCATGTTTGCGGACAAATGTTGAGAAGGGCCATTTACAATATTCACTTGGGGATTGTAGTCTTTGAACTGTCTTAATGTTTCAATATATATCATATAGGAATTCACTTTGAATGGGGGGAGGGGGTGGGTACACCTACCCCTCCCAAAGGATCGCTAAACTCATGAGGTGTAGTATCTGAAGTACAAATAATAACAAGGGCAGATAATATGTAAAAGAAAAGTAAAGACTGCATATCTTTAAATTTATTATCATGATGTTGGACAAGATAAACTATTGAATGCATTATATCACAAGCCTTTATAGATGTTTCCATGATCCAGTTCTGTTACAATTTTACTCATTATGGCTACCTTAAATGTATGCATATAGACTCTAAACAAAATTTTATATAGTATATTAATATCACCACCATCACTTCATATGCTAGCATCTTTTGGGAACATCTATCCAAATCTGAATCTTACTTTTATGGAAATCTTTTATTTCCCCTTTAAAATATATCGCTTGTCTGAACAGTGAACATTTTAAATAAATTAATTACAAATTGCAAAGCTTTATAAAACTGTCTATAAAAAAGCCGTACCAGATACATGTACATTAAAGCAACTTGAAATGGATAGAAAAAGAGGTTAAATAATGCATTAAAATGGAACTGATTCACATTGTGGTAATATAGTAATTAAAGATGGCAACAAATACTTTCACATTTTACTATTTAACTGGAAACAAGTGTAATACACTGTAAAATACAGATATCTGGTGTTTATTGAGCATCCTCTCATGATCACATTTAGTATGGCCTCGGTTATCCTGATTTACATGTAAAAGATAGTCAGTTTTGTTCATCAATTTATATGTAAATATAAAAGAGAAAACTTAACATTGAAGCAATACCATTGATTTTTGCTGGCAAAACTACGACATAAACAACTAAAATATGAATCTAACAAGCAAAAAGTTCGCTGATGTGAAAAAAGGTGATTAATGTAAAAATAATGTCATCCAAATAAAGATATATCATAGATATGTCATATAAAAATACAATATTGTATATATTTCATAACAAAAGCCTGCATAACTTGACTATTAGATGTAGGGGTGTGGTCCTCAGCCAAACAGTTTAACAAAGCAAGGGTGACAATAGGGCTTGTCGTTCTGTTCCTTAAATGTCCCTTTGTTGAGTTGTTTTAGACAGAAGGCACACGTGAAATGTTCTAAATGAAACTTCTTGCTCATGGCAGTGATACAGCGGCCCGTGATGGGCTTCTGGCAGGTGGCACACAAGGAGCCCCGCTTGGCGTGGTAATGGGTCTCACAGTATGGCAAACCCTCGTGGTCAAAGAAACTACGACCTCCAAATGGCTGGTGACAGTCCTAAGTAATCAGGTGGAAATATATTAATAACATATTAAATAAATCAGACTTAACCTCTCCCAACACAATACTGTAAACCAACTTTTATTCGTGACGACTTTATTTCACGATTTACCAGGGGTTAACTAGTTCATGACAATTAATTGTTGCAATAAAGCCTATTTAGTTCTCTTTTTGATAGACACATAGTCTTTAAAAACTGGTTCACCGCGAGAAATATTCGCGTTGACGAGGCTCTCGCGAACTTCACGAAAATTACTCGCACACGAATAAAAGTTGGTTTACAGTATTTATCTTTTTTTTTCTTTACTACATATTATTAATTTATATGTATATATTACAGGTTTAAATAATTGAAGCAATGGCTCTGTCACAGACATTCTGGAAATTAATTCACAATTAAGATTGCTTTTACATGTGCAGAATCCTTAAGCTTGTGATATTTTGCTTTACGTACCCTACAGACAAAACACTCGGGATGCCAGTGTCTAGAGAGGGCTGAAATGTAGTTGTCTAGGATTGGGTGGCCACACCCACCACAGCGGGGGGCAAACATCTCCAGGAAATCTTGTCTGAAAGGGAAAAATAATACATGCATACAAAGAGTTTAAAAATATCAGGTAACTATTTTTAAATAAATCAATATCTGTCATCAAGACATTCAACAAGGCAGAATTCACAATGTGTTATGTGTGTTTAAATAGTTTACCGGCAGTATGCCTTTCCATTCTTTTCATGGAATCCGTCATCACCGAAAGGTCTTCCACACTGCGCACAGAAAAAGTGCTCCGGATGCCACGTCATATCTAAAGCTGTTACACATTTCTGAGGAAAGAAATTTCATTTAAAAGAATTGTTAATCTTGCATATCAATATACTGGTAACTAATTGAAACATAAATTGGGGATGATAAAAGAATCAGTCAGAATGTCTTACATCTACAATAGAGCCGTTGCAGTAGGCACACTTTGGGGCGAATATTTTATGGTAGTCCTCTTCACAATATGCGGCTCCGTCCCTCTCATAGAAGTTCTTAGTGCCCAGCGGTAGGTTACAGTTAGCACAGGTGAAGTGTTCTATATGCCATACCTTTCCTAAAGCTGTTATCACCTGTAAAATAGTCATTATATTTACTACTTGAGCTTCAAAGAGAGATAACTCAAATATACATTACATGCTACACAAATTACCTATTGATGTACAGAGTACAATAAAGTATAATCTATACTAATTTAGGTATACATATGTATTTCTCATTAATTACATTTTTTACTCCTTAAAAACTTATCAACCATGAGAATAAAATTAATATAGTATAAGTATTTACTGCAAACATGAAAATGTTTGCATTGGTCCAATCATAAACTATTGATAAGCCTTATAACTCACCTTTACTTGAATGGCCACCTATTAACCTGACAAATTACATGCCCTTTACCCCCACTTTACTTTACATGATCTTTTTTACCTGACTACCCTGGTAATCAGATTTTATCACAGGCTGGTTACATACCCTATACCCAAACTTAATTTACATAGCCTATCCAGAGCTCCAGATAAGGTGCGTATTTGCAGAAATACGCATTAAATTTTATAAAATACGCATTGAAAATTAAAATATAGCGTACAATTACGCATTAGCAATCATAGATACGCATTACACCATGAAAGTACTGCATACAACAAAGTGAAGAATACAAGTACAACTTACTTAATGATACCAATTGAGGTTAACTCAGTGTTTGATTTTTCTCAAAACGAAGTACAGATTTAAATTAAAGCTTTTCAGTGACCAGGAATATTCTAGTAATGACGACGACGATCTCCATTTCGGGAGGAAGAATCGGAGATTAAGATTAAAATCAATTTCTATATAGAAATACTATGCACTAGGCATAACTTTTATTATGGGTTCATAGCCAATTTTTCATCTCTCTCAACTTGCCATATTAACGAAGATTCTTTCAGTTTATTCTTGATACGATATCTTAAATGAAGGAAAAGTTATCTGTGTCTCTGACTCTACAGTGTACCTTGACCTACTGTATAATCTTCTTTGTCAAAAAAAGAATGCTACCCAATCTTAGCAAAAAGTCTAGTTGAAATTTACAAAATTTATTTAGATAATTGCAGAAACTGACCTTTGAAGTTTTTTCCCTCTTCAAAAACTCATACTTCAATTACAAGCTCAAAACTAGAACTGTCCAATAGGGACAAATACCCCCGCTGGGTTTTTCAGAGTAGGTGCCAATTCAGAAATATTTTATGGATCTAGTAAGAGGTGTTCACTTTTTTCTAATAAAGTGCCCCGCCACAGCATGATACGCCCATCAAATATTGTTCGATAATCATAAATTGGTTAGGGTGCAAGAAAATCAAGTAACCTTGATTAACAGATTGACACAGATTTCAATGATCTAATTTCCATTTCTTATCATGTTTAAAATATTGTACATACATCTCTAAGAGACTTACAGTGTAGGGATTAATTAAAACAAATAATACATCATATAATTCTAAACTGGCTGTGTTAGAGCTTAACAAATATCCATCTGCAGCTTTAAATTGTTTATTGCATATTTTATGAAATAATGGAAATGCTACAGTCTAATAAAAAAAATCAAAAATTATTATTCTTTAGACTATAAAATTCTAAGTGAAACATGACTGCAATTTGTTGCAAATATATAAAAATTGAAATGTAATTTTTTTTCAATAAACACATGTATAATTAATTTTAATTATATTATACAATACTAATTCAGTTTTAATCATACACTAAAACATCAATTTCTTTTAATTACATTACACCAAATGAAAGATCTTTATCTGAACTACAGCCATCAAGAACTCTTAATTGACACAAGCTACTATAAGGCCATTTCTTTTAGCCCAACTCACAAGACATAACTCCCGACAATGAACTCATTAATTTCTCTCATATTTGACATGCACATTTCTGCTATCAAAATTTCCCCTTGACCAGTGCTTGATAATTATGCCCATGGGACAAACTGAATTCCTCTCAAATCATTAACATTTGTTACAGAATTTGCTGTAAAGTATATGATAAAGAATAAGTTTTTACTTAATTTAGCATTTTTTAATAAGGATACAACTATATTTTTACATTTTTTAGGATTATGAAATTTAAAATTTTAAAGACTTAGTTTTTTTTTAAAAATCTCTTAAATTAAAGGTCACAGTGACCTTGAAATAGGTCGGACACACCGTCTACTGCATAAATTGTCCAAGTTTGAATTGTAGTCTTAGTTTTCTAGTTATGAGCCAAACAAAATCACAAAATAAAAAAGAAAAAATGCCTGTAAAATGCAGAAAAATCATCCAAACATGATGAAAATCCCAGGTGCACACCTTCATATGTTGAATAATAAGTGTATCAATTTTCAGACAAATCCATCGAAAGTTTCTGAAAGGTCAAAGCTGGTTTTCGTTTGCGGGGGTATATTTTTCTATATTTATAAACAAAATACTCTTTAATCATGTTGCTGAAAATCAAAATCTGCATTGATTTGAAAATCAGGGAGTAAATACACTTTGGGGTAAAAAATTATCTGGAGCTCTGCTATCTGACCTGACCAATCAACTGGTTACATGCCCTATGACCCTAAATTTACATTATGTTGTCTATCTTACCTGACCAATCACAAGCTGGTTATATGCCCTATGACCCTAAATTTACATTATGTTGTCTGTCTTACCTGACCAATCACAGGCTGGTTACATGCCCCACAGACCCCCTTAGTTTTGGTTGTTACTCCTTGGCTCTTCATGTCTTCATGAAGATTTCCCAACATGGAATCTAGTTCTTCTCTCTGGGGTGCAGCAGGGGTGGATGGGGCACTGCTCTGAGAAGGGGTTCTTTTCTGGGGTTTAGCGTAGGGGGGTTCACTGGAGGGGGAGACTGATCTCTGGGTTCTCTCGTGTGAGCTACCTCCACTGACCTAAATAAAAGTAATTAAAACTCTGTAAACTTACTTATAACTACCCATCACACTGTAACTTTTGACAAATTTTCCAGGAAAGCAAAAATTAAAATTGAAGCTGGTTTATATACAGCCTAACTGATATCTAGATTTGAAAATGAAAATTAATGTCTATAAAAATAAAACAACCTGATATTGTATTATAGCATGTTTATTGACACATGAGTTTTTAATAATACATACACAATCATACCAAATCTAGTTTTTATTGCTCCCCTGATTGAAGATTTGGTGGTATAGAGTTTTTGCCCTGTTGGTCCATCTGTCTGTATGTTTTATCTGTTTGTATGTTTGTCCACAAAAACTTTAACCTTGCCTATAACTTTTGGGTAGGTGGGGCTATGACTTTCATATTTCACAAGTTTATTCCTTGTCACAGGACCACCAAATCTGACCGCAACCTTAACCTTGGAGTTTGACCCACTTTTACAAAAAAAAATATCTCATTTTAGCCTTAGCCATAACTTTTGAACAGTTTTCATACTTCACATGTATATTTATTTTGACAAGAAGTTTCAATGGATTTAAGTATTTTTTACCTTTTGACCTTGACCTTAGAGATTTACCAACTGAAAAACTTTAACCATAACCTTAACTTTTGATCAGTTAGCACTATGGCTTTCCTTTGGACATCAACAATTCTGACATTTTTATCGTAAGCTGCCACAAAGGGGCATCAGTGTTTAACAAACAATTCTTTTCTTCGAAATACATAAACCTTCATTTTCAAGTACATGCTAAATGCATATCATGCACCATAAAATTACTTTTTAAGAGACTGTGTTGCATGGAAAGTTAGACAATACAAATAATACTCCATATTTAATCAAACAAGCTGACTGACCTTGAACCCTGACAGTGTTGCCATGAGTTCATCCAGCTCCCGGGTTGCCGTGGAAGTAGCTTGTGGTTTGGGCTGGACCTGAATGGTGGTCTGTTGAGGCTGGGGAGGGGGGACATCTGATGTGTATTCATAGTTATCATTGGCAGGGGGACTACAAAACAATACAGTGTATTCACATTGGCATACAATTAAAATTGCTACAATTAAAATCTATTGATACCAGACTTGAAGAAAATCCTAGTGTTAAAATGTGTAAATAGTGAATCATAACTGCAAGTACTGTATATATATTGTTTTTAAATATGTTAGAAATTTGTTTGGACAGAAAATAAAAAGACCCTTAACACATTTATGTGAAGTACTTCACTTTTATCAGAGGAAATGCAAGTCTTAATTTTTCTGCATATTTCTCAAGCTGACATGCTTGTGAAGTATTAATGGTGGGACCAGTCACAATATTTCCTCAGTAAACTAGCTTTTATGTAACAACAAGAAAGTTGAAAAATAATTTAATTTTGAAAAGAAAAAATTATTAACTTTTTAAAAAAAAAATGTTGCCAGAATTAATGACTTGATTTGGTATGCCAAATAAAATTTAAACTGTAAAGTTTTAAATATACAAGTACTCAATGTGCTAATGTGTGTATTGATTTGTAACCAAATATTTTACCTTGAAAGACATGCCTTTTGATCAATAACCGACTATTTAAATAATGATCTAAATACTGATAACATTCATGCCAAATATAACATACAAGTCATCCTGTAAAATATGATTTAATAATAAGTGAATTTGTCTTCTTTTTTTTCAATTAATATGAGACAGAGTAGTATTGAATATTTGTGGTAAACTTATCCAAAAAACATAAGGAAGATAGGAGTCGTTCAAAAGAATACAGTCTTATTGAAATAATCTTTCACATGTTTAGTTTTTGCTGCACTTGGTGGGGATCTATACATGTGACCAACTAGTGTAATAGAGACTACTAGTATCAGCAACATAGAGATCTTGTGGACGTTTTATACAAACGACAGTATGTATGTAGTATCAGGCATACTGATGTACTCTCCTAGAGGTGTCCTGTACCATTATTATTGGGTGTCATGTTAAATGACCTTATATCCCTACCTTCTATAGTTATTATTGGGTGTGTCAGGCACGGACCCTTCTAACATATCTAGGAGGCCCCCTACGGAGGTTCTGTCCTCGCGGGAGGGTTTCGGGGCCACAGGAGGGGGCTGTTTACCTCCCCCATTTGTAATAGGCTGACTTCCTGAAAAACAAACACAAAATTCTATGGATTACATCAAATCTCATGTTTTATTATGGCTCACAAAAAAGCCAACTTATCTAAAGTATGTTTTTCATTAAACAAAAAAATTCACACATGTTGGGAAGAAAAATGACTCAGCAATGGAAAATCAACACAGGTTTTTACAAACACACCACAACAAGAATGACCCAGGGTAGTTTTATAAAAAAAAAGATTAAAAATCTTGATAACATTCTAAACAAGAGATTGATTGCTTTACTTTCAGCAGGAAAGAGCCCAATAGACTTTGCCAAAAATGTCCTCTTACATTTATAATCAAAGAGAACTTGAACACAGCTAAGTTTTTTTCACAAACAAAAATAGAAATACTACACTGTATAACATCTCCTTAAAAATCTCTCTTGGGTACCCGCATGTGAGGGTATGAAATCCTAGCAACAAATTTATATCCTTGAATCAGATTGAAACTCACTTCAGAGCCATTACAGATCACTTAAGAATTCCTTTGAACTGTAAAAAATAATTTCCTACCACTATATTTCCATTTTAACATGACCCAGTGTTCATATGAATTGCACAGTCACTAGCATGTAGACTCCGTCAAAGCAGTGATGGATTTACACGCCAATTAATCATCCAAGTCAAGTGAATGTTTGTGCCAGTGAATTACTCTCCTATCAATAAACAGCTGAGAAGTGACACCACTTTGTACATTACTTTTGCCTCTCTCTGGAATAATCGACCTCAGTGGTTAATCAAAACCCTCACGGGTGGCAGTGCCTGTAAATCTTTTACTGTGTGACTTCTTTCTTTTCTTTTTTTTTTGAGGGGGAGGTTTTCTTTATCTTGCGAAGTTATTCTAAAGCTCATTGACGGGAGACCCTTTTAATTGTGTGTGTCAGGAATGCCAAGTATTTAAATTATTAAAATGCCCCATTACTGTTTATTCAAAGTACATTTTTATACAGAGAAGAAGGAACTGAATTAAGAAGTAATTATGACATGACTGTTATAGAGATAAAAGGATGTTATCAGTAAAAAAGAATAAAGAACTAATTAAGCCTAGCATTCCAAAAGTCTATATTAAAAGACTTTGTGTCTCTTAGCTTATTAGATTCCTGTCTTGTTTAAGCTTCAAAACACATCAGTTAATTACATTACATTTAATTCAGTTTCAGCTCTTCTGACAAGGGGAACCTTTTCACCCCTTGGAAAAACTATATCCTCAGTGATTTTAAAGGAAATGAAAACAGCTAGGTTTCCTTTTGGTCTAAATATAATAGGGAAATATTTACAATTGAAACTTTATGCATGGATGTATCATCTTCATCAAGACAAATACTTAACCTTTGGGAAGACAACTGACAGAGCAGTTTACACAGATGTAGAGAACTATTTCTAACATCTCTGTCAATTGTCAAATTACTTAACATTTACATCATGATTTTTGTATCTGTTTGGGAAGGGGGGGTGTCTTGTTCAGAAAAAAAAAATTATTTCTTGTCAGACTCTTACATAGAAGAGCCAAATATTATGTCATACACTTACAATTATATTGTTGCATAGCAATGTTTGTAAATCATAAAAAAATCCCAATTAAAAGCAATACAATCCTAAGTTAACTTCACCATTCATCATTTTAATGAAAGTGTTGGTAAGTCTTGTAATAAATACAGCTATCTTGTTCTACCACCTCATGAAGAGTTGAATATCACAATCACTACTGATTTGGATGAGCCTGAAGCTGGTTTTACCTGAATTGCGTTTGTCCACTTCTGCCATGAACTGAGCCGAGTTGAGATCCTTCAGGAGCTGGTCCAGCTCAGACAGATTGTTGCTGAGTTGTGATGTCCGCGGCTGGTCCGACTGCACCTGTGTCACCCCTGTCTCGTAATACATCGGCTGAAAATAAGAAACAGAGAATTTCCTTATAACAAGATCCGTAAGAAAGGTTTAACTTCTTTCATTTTATATACATGTAAGTAATGATTTTCTCAAAAAGGGATATATTTTCACTACCACAATTCCTTTTGTGAAGACAAGATGCAGAATTTTTCAGTTTGGGGTTAGGAATTCCAACTGCACTTCTAAATATTAGCTCCTAGAAAATGACTACTTGTAATCCATCATACCAAAGTTGTTAACACAGTGGAGGATACAATAGCTTCAACTTCCTTAAAAATTGTACAAAGCTCTGATACAAATATTCATCAATATAGCTGTATATATACATATCCTGCTTACTGTGTAAGTTATGTAACACTGAACACACGATTTTCCTTTTATTATAAACTTTTAACATATGTCATTGACACCTTTAGTGTGTGCATAGGATTACTTATTATATACATTGCTCCTTGTCTAGTAATAAGGTAAATATATACTGTCTTTTTATGGATATACAAATATTATGTAAATCATCCACATATGCACCTCTATGGTTATATAATCATAGGTAATAAATCTTGCATATTACAGAAAATATGCTCTTATTCCTATACATTGCAATTACCTCTCGATAAACTTGAAATTCATGTACAGACAGTCTGTGCTGTTTACAAAAAGATAATAAAGAGTAAAATTTTTGCTGGAGTCATTTTCCATAATTTTCCTGTTAATGGTCTCAAAATATGCCAAAATGGCTTTGTTATTTGCAGGATTTTTGTTTCACAGAATTTTAAGTTAAAAAAAAAATTTTTCTTATGTTCAATTTACAGAGAAGGGATTATAGTGAACAGGAAACATTATTGATAAAAAAGGTACAGCATATTGAAAAGAAAAAAAAAATAACTTGCTATGTACAATGAAGCGCATTGAAGTGGTAAAATTTTCCGTTTGGACGAAACGTTCTGAGTCATGTTTTGAACGTCAATTACAACATAATGACACGCCCATATTTTTAGAAACGAGAAAGAAATATTCGTCGTAATATTTTAGGACACTGCACTCTTCGCGACAAGCAATGTGAGTTGCAATGAAATAGAGCTTTAAAAAAATTAGAAGATAGAGTTAGAGACTCTCCGCTTCTGTAAAACACAAATTGCAACAAAAATGTACATATTTTTTAACTTATCATGTCTATTGATAATACCACAACACATGTTTCGGTCGAACACGTGTTTACTCGGTATTTATTTAGGCCGTCAATTTCATTGGCTATTATATTTATGGAAAACCTGTTCTACAGGTATTCGAACAAGAGGCCCATGGGCCACATCGCTCACCTGAGTAATGAGGATAGGGAAAAAGCAGAAATCAGTTTATACCCAGTAGTGGTCTAAACCAATCCTTAAAAGGGAGATGGTATGATTTAAAAATATTGAACAAACTTGAATCTTCAATAACTAAGGATGCATGCATATTTCTTTGATTTCCTGTGGCTTTATTGCCCTTCATATTTTAACTTACATTGTGGCCCCGCCCTATACCCCAAGGGGTCATGACTTGAACAAAATTGAATCTACACTACCCAACAATGCTTCCATATGAACAGGACTAATCATAGCTTTGCTATTCTTGAAAAGAATTTTAAAGATTTTTTCTACATGTTTCTATGTAAAACTTGGATTCCATGTTGTGGCCCCGCCCTACCCCTTGGGGTCATGATTTGAACAAAAATTGAATGTCCATTGCCTGAGGATGCTTCTATAAAAATATGATCATTCATGCCTTTGCTTTTCTTGAGAAGAAGATTTTTAAAGAATTTTTACTATATATTTCTATGTAACACTTTGATCGGCCATTGTGGCCCCGCCCTACCCCAAGGGGTCATGATTTGAACAAACTTGAATCTACACTACCTGAGAATGCTTCCCTATAAGTTTCATCTTTCCTGGCACAGTGTTTCTTGAGAAGAAGATTTTTAAAGAATTTTCCTATATATTTCTATGTAACACTTTGAACGGCCATTGTGGCCCCGCCCAACCCCGGGGGTCATGATTTGAACAAACTTGAATCTACACTACCTGAGGATGCTTCCCCATAAATTTCATCTTTCCTGGCACAGTGGTTCTTGAGTAGAAGATTTTTAAAGAATTTTCCTATGTATTTCTATGTAAATCTTTGATCGGCCATTTTCCTAAAACCCCGGGGGTCATGATTTGAACAAACTTGAATCTACACTACCTGAGGATGCTTCCCCATAAATTTTGTCTTTCCTGGCACAGTGGTTCTTGAGTAGAGGATTTTTAAAGAATTTTCCTATGTATTTCTATGTAAATCTTTGATCGGCCATTTTGGCCCCGCCCTACCCCAAGGGGTCATGAGTTGAACAAACTTGAATCGACACTACCTGAGGATAATTCCCTATAAGTTTCGTCTTTCCTGGCATTGTGGTTCTTGAGAAGAAGATTTTTAAAGAATTTTCCAATGAATTTCTATGTAAATCCTTGATCGGCCATTTTGGCCCCGCCCTACCCCCAGGGGTCATGAGTTGAACAAACTTGAATCAACACTAGTTGAGGATGCTTCCCTATAAGTTTCATCTTTCCTGGCACAGTGGTTCTTGAGAAGAAGATTTTTAAAGAATTTTCCTGTGTATTTCTATGTAAAATTTTGGTCGGCCATTTTGGCCCCGCCCTACCCCCAGGGGTCATGAGTTGAACAAACTTGAATCTACACTACCTGAGGATGCTTCCCTATAAGTTTCATCTTTCCTGGCACAGTGGTTCTTGAGAAGAAGATTTTTGAAACATTCCATCAATTTTTTATAATTTCTTAATTATCTCCCCTTGAATAAGGGCGTGGCCCTTCATTTGAACAAACTTGAATCCCCTTTACCTAAGGATACTTTGTGCCAAGTTTGGTTGAAATTGGCCCAGTGGTTCTTGAGAAGAAGTCAAAAATGTGAAAAGTTTACAACGACGACGACGACGACGACGACAACGACGACGACAACAACGACAGACAACGGACAAATTTTGATCAGAAAAGCTCACTTGAGCCTTTGGCTCAGGTGAGCTAAAAAACAAATTGACCGTTTTATCCATTTCTAAAGAAATGGGCGTGTCATAAGATGACAATAAACGTTCTAAAGATAGCTCAAAATGTTCCATTCGAAAGGAAAATTTTACCACTTCAATGCGCTTCATTGTATTACTTTTGTTGCTGTTTATCGATAATACTTGCAAAGAATTTACCTTGAGACTTTATATGAAATATTCAATTTTAAAGATGCATGTACAAATAATGAGTCCACACGTTTAGGTGGTAGATATGAATTGGATCTCACCTGATCAAACTGTTTGGGGGGTGGAATGCTCTCCAGAAGTTCCTGGGGTGGCGGTGGTGGTAGGGGAGGTGGTGTCTCGCTGCCGCTGGACCTCTGTGTGTACCTCTCGTTGTACTCATTGTTAGTGCTCCTGTACTGAGCATGGTTCTGTACCGGCTCCCTGGACTGACCTACGTCCCCCGAGCGATTGGATCCGTCCCCGTGCTGGTACTGTCGTACTTGTGTGGTGGTGTTCTGAAGGTCAGCCAGTAATGCATCTGTAACATTGAAAGGAAAAGTTACCACACCCCTCAGACTCAAATGAATCTCATTCTCCTGTGCTATGCCTTGCAGATTAAACTTTATATTAAGGAGGTAAACACCCTTTCACCTCTCCATTCTTAAATAGGCAGTGAGCCTCTGCCCTTTTGGGACTTTCAGCTTGATTTCTTTTAAGGAACGAAATAGTATTCAGACTGTTTACCTTAACATAATTTCTCTTTCTCACCACAAGTTTAGACAGTTGAACAATATTTCGTAAAAAGTTTCAAAACTACTAAATATTGTACTTGTGGTACTTTATATATACCGGTATATATACACGAATATGACTATAGAAGAGACATTTTAAGTAAGGTACATATATATGAACTATACATGATATAGATTTAGTAGTATTGTATATTATTTTGTAACAGTCAATAAGAATGACTAGTAGTTATGTTATATCTTTAACAATAAGGCAGTTCATCACATTAATTTACTGTACAACAAAGAAACTGTATATCCTACATGTCAAGAACATGTATGTACACAAGTAGAAAATAATGATCATATACAAAAAAGAGTTTTCAAAATAATTTTTTTTATCAGTAAAATATTATTTCTCCATATCAAACTTCCTGATAAAAGAACCCCTCAAAGCTAACAGGATTCTTGTCACCTTTCAAAATTTACAAAGGGCTTTCCGGCTTCACTTAGGATAGCTACATGTTCCGAACATGTAAAATACAGATTTACGGAGTATCCTAGCCTGGCTCACAAGTGAGTCAACAGTGAATAACAAGCCTTAAGTGGCCCTTGATATAAAATAGGAATCCTAAATACATCTCATGCCGAGAGATGACGAACAATATGGCCCCCCTGATAACCTATGTGGGATGTCGTACTGTGACCATAACACACATCCCCCGGTCCAGGTGTACATAGCACCTTAATCAATCAGTCTTGTACAACACTGCCTAATGACATCATTCCTTTGATCTCCATACTAATACTCATAAGAAATCACTCATAGTAACACATATAGAGGTCAAAATACATTTATATGAACACTGAATCATTGTACCATCACACTTTATCTTTCTCGGTGTGGTGTATAAAGCAAAACTACACATAAATTTACTTATATCAGGATTACCATTAAAACATTTGCAGTAAAATGCACCAGCAGAATGACGTAGTCTTTCTGAATGTAACTCCAGAGCTGCATGTGTTTCTATCAACAAGCTTTAATAACCTCAGCTGAATCAGTGTGTGTAAAAATGGAATATAAAAATGCAAATTTTGTGCTCTGTGAAGTAGGAAATTGACAGAGAACAGGTTCCTGGGATGGGAGCCATTATATCTTTGTGCCCCATTATCTGACTTATCTAGAGGGAATCTGGGGATTCATCAGTCAGCCTGCTCTTATTGTCAGAAGGAAAACACATGTCAGCCCCCATCATACAACCACTTCACCACAAGATCAGCCATTATACTCAAATATTCCACCAATGCTGATCAACCAGAGCTACGTTTAATTATGAAGTTATGTTGAAAGGTTAAACACCTCTATCACAGGGACTTTTCCTTATTTAAAGAAAACAAAATACTTATAAGTAAATACAGGAAAAAATTTCCTCCAAATCTTTCAATATTCTTTTAAAAATAATGTACATGTACTTATGTTTATACAATACTTTTCTTTATGTAACATTGTTTACAATTAAGGTTTAAAAAAATTGTGAAGGGACAGCAAAAAAAAAAAAAACTTGTACAAATATACCATCCAGTACTACTTTATAATGACAGGAAGCTAAAACTTCTTTATCTACAAGATCAAGAGAGAAAACATGTAAATACTTAACTTTCTTCCTGGGCAACCTTGGAGAAACTTTCACAAATTTCAGCATATTTCCTTGTCTACTTTGCACCACAATGCTGACTTGTGAGAGTCAGCTAAGTACTAAGACAACTGAGAACTACCAAGTCCCTTCACTTATCCCCAGTAAAATACCCATCAAGTACTGCTTGTTGATACAAGATATACCATTATACATGTACGTACTATCCAGAGCACTTGTAATACATCGTGTGTCATAATATACAGTATCTATATCTGTGATTTGTTACCATTTACATCACAGGGCTTCTACCATTCCCCAGCCATAAACCAGTTACATAACTGTAGATATAGTATCTAGAAAGTCAATCAAGGTCAAGAATCCCCCCTCTCTCTCCAATCATCCCACTTCTCCATTCAGTAAAACAATCATCAATCAATTTACCATGCAGGAAATCAGAGAAAAAGAAACTAAAAACAGAATCTTCTAATTGTGAAAGTAAATTAGTTGTCAATTAAAGCTCTGAAGTGTCCTACCTATTTCAATCATGGCTCTCCTTTCTGCAGCAGGCCTCCTAGTGAATCATCTACTCCGAAAACACAGATAGACTCTGCCAAGAATTTCACAGGGATCTTGTCAAAGTTATCAATGATTACAAACCTGGTTAATATCACTGCACTGAGAGCCTACTCCCCCCTGTATAGTGGAATTATTTACATTTTTTAATTCCTCTCTCTACCAGCACTTCGGGGGAGGCTGACCCAGCATACCTGATTCCTAGCCGAGAAAAACATGTCCGTAATCTGGTGTTTGAATAAGGCATTGTTAACAAACATCATGGCCCTATAATGCTGACTTGAAGTTTTATTTAAAAGAAATGCTACTTTAAAAGGTGGTATGTCAAATCCATTAAACAGCAGTATTGAACAGTTTAAATTATAAATTTTGGCACCTTTAGTTTTTTTCTTAAAACATCTTTAATAATCCTTTTATTCATGACTAGAAAAAATAGTGCAATGGATTCTTTTTTGAAAAATGTACATAAATAAAATGTATTCTTGCATAGGTCATTAATTTCCATACAAAACCTTCACTCCAGTATGAGTATAATAGCCAAGTTTATGTTTCCATATAGGAAACCTCAAGTCCATCAAACCATTAAATAGGAGATACACAATAACACTTTGTAACCAAGATTCTGGGAAAGTGTATTTAAATTTCATATAGTGGTACATGTATATAGGCAAGGTTGATGATAAGACAGATCAGTACCCTTAATATTATAGGAAAAGTGGCATTGTCCAGTTTTATTATGGAAAACCTGTTTAAGGTGTAAAATAGGAGGTGCACAATGACACTTTATAATAAAGATTCTATGAAAAGTCTCATTCAAATTTATTCAGTGATATTGCAGGAGTTGCAAATTATAAGAGATGAGTGCCCTGTTTTACTTAACTCCAAAATATGTATTTCATCAAATGAGAGATAGGAGACACACAATGGAATACTTTTTAAAAAAGCATTCTGTCAAAATTTCATTCAATGTTTGTTCAGCAGTACAGGAGAAGCTAGGGATATGGGTACTCAGTGCATAACAGACAGACGGATGGGCACTCTCATCACCATATTTCACTGCTTTTAAAGGTGCATGGAACGTGTCTTAATACAGCAATTTTCTGCAGTCTAAATATACACTGTTAATTAATGCATCTGAATGGATTCATTACCATGTTTTGTAAAGTAAAAGTAAATAGAAACCTGTCTAGTGACTTCTAATAGCTCTGCAGTCTTTGAAATTGAGTTCTTACACACTCCCTGAGAAGAGATAAGTAAATTTAATTTCTGATGATGTAACCCCAACAGAATGCCAGGCAGTTGGAGGCTGCCTCTATAAATAGCCTATTCCTTCAATCTCATCAGTGTCTGGGAAAAATCTGCACAAGCCATTACTCATCAATGGATGCACTGTGTCAGCTGATGGAGAGTAATCAAGTTTTCATTGCTGTTAAATGATAAACACTTCCTATCCATCATAAGCACTAAGTAAAATACCAAGAGAGGTAACTCTGAATTAGGTACTGACACTAGATATTCATATCATATAGTATTAAATTATCATGATTATGAGAAGAATTAATTTAAGCTAGAGATTTATGAAATATAGTTGATGATAGTAATTTGTCTTTATAAGAGCAAGACTTACAATTTAATGCTGATGGGAAATTGTACTGTATGTATACATGTACAAATGTACATACAACGGATTCAGAAATTGAAAGGGGAAAAATTGCTTCGATACTCAATGCCAAGATGAACATTACAAAGTATCCAACTGAGTAACTATGGCCCTGCTATTCTTCTCCATTGTAGTATCTTTTGTGGCCCCACCCCTCCCTGGAGTTCATGATTTGAACAATTTAAATCTACACTGTCACAGAATGTTTACTTATAAGATTCAGCTTTTCTGGCCCAGTGGTTCTTGAGAATATTTTTTAATGACCCTATCCTATTTTTGTCTTTTCTTGATTATTGCCCCTTGTAAGAGGACTTGACCCTTCAATTTAAATATTTAAGCTCCCCATCACTCAGGGATGCTTTGCACCAAGTTTTATTAAAATTGGCCCTGTGGATCTTAAGAAGAAGTTGAAAATGTTTAAAGTTTACAGACAGACGGATGACCTAAAATGAGTGATCAGAAAAGCTCACTTGAGCTTTCAGCTCCAGAGTGAGCTAAAAAATTAAATGAATAAGAGGGCTTTGGATGACTAATATTAGTTATTACACATTCATCAAAGAAATTTTCTGGTAAAATGAAGTCTTTTGCACATTCATAAATATAAATTTCTACTTTTCAAGGCCACTATAAATAAACATAAAAAATAAAAATGAATTTGACATCCCCAAACAAAGACTTATTGATAGGTACAAACCTCATCTTACAAACAGTATAAACCCCCTCTGTGTGTGACCTCTCTGTTCTCTATCTACAACAGGTGCCCCCTGACATGTGTAATTTTTTTGTCAACCGTCAGACAAAACACATGCATCAGCTGTGTTCCCCTTACTACTGTGTCACCCCTTATTATAAAGCTAACCCAGATCAAAAACACAAGTAATACTTGTATCCTTCCTTCCTGTCTGGTATTAATATTTAAAAGAGAAAAGAAATTAGT